TGCATGCAGGGAGAGGGAGTACAACCATGCAAGAGATCGAGGGAGAGGGAGAGGGAGAGGGAGAGGGAGAGGGAGAGGGAGAGGGAGAGGGAGAGGGAGGGAGGGAGAGAGAGAGAGAGAGAGAGAGAGAGAGAGAGAGAGAGGGAGAGGGAGAGGGAGAGGGAGAGAGAGAGTAGGGAGAGAGAGAGAGAGGGAGAGAGGAAGAGGGAGAGGGAGAGGGAGAGTCACTGCCAGGGGACCGCCACGCCAGCCTGCTGCTGCTGGATGGCGATCTGCGCAGCGCAGCCATCCTTCGCCGTCTTAACCCACACCTGCATCCCATCGACATCCTCGAGCTCAGCGCAAAGGTCGAGAGCCCGCGTGTAGTCTCCGGCGTTGTACGCCGACTCGATCTCGCCCTTGATCGTGCCCGGCTGGTTCCTACAGCGCCGCTTGCGCTGCTCGAGCTGCAGGCTGAGGCAGCTCAGGTCGTACATGGCGTTATCCCTCGCTGCCCGTGCCTTGGCCGCCGCCTCATCCTTCGCGCTCTGCTGCGCCATGCAGATCTCCTTGCGGATGGACGCCTGAACGCCCGCGGCCAGCATGTCGTACGCGTCCTCCTCGAGCTCGTGCAGCGCCTGCTGCTCCGCCTGCACCGCCTCCATCGTCTCCTCGTGCGTTGCGTCGAGCAAGCGGAGCAGCTCGTCAAACTGGCGCCCCAGCAGCTGCACGTCCTGCGACTTGGCCGAGATGAGGGAGATGATGCGGGAGGCGGGGAGAGACGGCCCCTGCGTGGGAGCCAGCTGCGATGGCACGAGCGTCTGCGCTCCCGCCGCCGCAGGCGGCGCTCCCGCCGCTCCGAGCGCTGCGCCAGAGCCGCCGGCGAGGCTGGACGGCTTGGGGACGTTTGGACGTTTGCCCAGCTCGGCTTGGGGAGGTCGCCCTGCTTCAGCTCGTCCCCAAAGAGCCGCCGGAAGCCCTCGGCCCCCGTCACGATCTGAAGCGAGCCCACCCCGGAGCCGTTCACGTGCTTCTCGAGCTGGGCAGCCAGGCCATCGTCTCGCAGCTGCGAAGCCTGGCTGGACACGGTGATGGCGTCGTAGGCTTGGTAATCGGCGAGGAGGTCGTTGATCACGTCGAGCGTCGCAAGGGTCGCCTCCTCGTCGGGCGCCGCAGCAAAGAGGACCCCCAGGTGGGACGCGCGCAGCACTCGGCACTTCCCTCGGTCGTCGCAACGCTGGGCGCCGAGCGCACAGCCCGGAGGGACGACGACGCCGCCTCGGCCCGCGGCGAACTCCGCGATGCTGCGAAGGCACGCGTTGCCTCGCTCGCTAGAGCTGATCATGCCAGGCGAGATCAGATACACAGAGGTGATCTGCATGGTCGCTGGCTGGAATGACTCGCGCGCCACCAGCTGTGGCCCGAGTTTTTTCTTTTTTTGAGAGCGCCTTCGTTGTTAAAATACAAACCATGGTCCCTTTCGAGCGGTCCCCTGTCGCAGTCGCACACACGCACACGCCGCACCGCACCGCGCGCCCGCCCGCTGCCCCGCCCAGGCGGAAAAGAGATGAGGAGATGGGACAGCAAAGGAGGAGGCACAAACACGTATGGGAGGGTTCAGTTGTGCGCCACGCTGCCCGGCGTCTCTCACTTTCCGGGACAGCCCCGCCCTTTTGAGGCAGGAAAGTGACGGCTACCCCGTACGCCCTGTCGCTGCTACCCCATTTGTGTATCGCGCGCCTTGCGGGGGGGGCGCGGAAAAGAGGAACCTCTTAGCGCCATCGCCACGGTGCTGCATGCAGCGCCGGGCGACGACGGCTTACCGCCTCCCGGTCCCCCTCGGCACACCTCCGCTGCTCAATGTTTGACGGCTCGAACCCGTGAAGCTTCCCCGTGCGCGGGTTACCCCGCACACGGGTCAGCCTGCCAGCCACGTATCCACGCAAGCGTGGTCCGCGTGCATGGCCCCAACGCCGACCGCCCATCCCCCTCTCCTCTTCCCCCCCTCGAATTCCTCGGCCCCGACAAGCCGCCCGACGTTGGGCCTCCGCCCCGCACGCCCCGGCCCCTCTCCGCCCCGCGCACACACCCACGCGGTATCCCGATGGGGAGTGCACTATCACCACCGCTGGCGATAGGGACTCTTGCGTGGATGGAGCACGAGTGGATGCAAACGCTCGAAGATGATACGAAAGCGCGTTTCCGTATGAAGCGCTACATGGACGATGTGATCACGGTGACTGCGAAGGACGATAGCGCATGGGATGTTGATCGTTTCCGAGATGATTTCCGTCGTTCGGAGTGCTACTGGGCCCCTTTGAAGCTGGATGCCGCCGAGAGCACCCATTTTTTGGAAACGACTCTTGAGCTCGACCCAAGCGGAAGTTTCCGGACGAGACTCAAGAACGTTAATGAGGGCTGCGAGACGGCACCGCGAGTGTGGCGCTACCATCGTTGGGATAGCTTCACATGCGCTAAAATGAAGGCGGGCATCGTGGTTGGATGCCTGCTCAAGGTGGTCGCGATGGCGAGCGATGACGAGGGATTCACGCTCAGCGTGACGAGCAAGCTCAGGGAGTTTACGGCACTCGGATACCCTTCGCACGTGCTTAATGGGGCGATCGGGCGCACGTTTGCTCGGACAAAAGACGAGCGACTCCTACGAGCAAGAATATGTTCGCACTGGTGAAGACCAGGCGAGCCAAAAAGACAAAAAAGACTCATCTAAGCATGTCGGAGAACCGTCCAAAGGCGGGTGCAGTCGACCAAAGGACATGATCTGTCGACAGCACGAATATCGAATTTGTGATGGGACACCATCGGGACCCAACAGTGCGATACTTGGCTATCGCACTGTTGACGTACCGGCGGCTAAGGCCGAGTAGCCGGTGTTCACAGAGCTCTGTGAACACCGGCGAGAGAATTTTTCTCTCGACGATTTCTTCTACGAAGAAACGTTCAAAACACTCGGTGTCGAAACACCTCTCCGACGCGCTCGACTATAGTCTCCGCACCATGCACAATGCCGCTCTCCCCGCACGCTAGCTCGTTCACATCGCTTCAATCGCCCTCTCGCCCTCGCCCTCGCGCCTCCGCCCGTGGGAGTTACGAGATGGTGTGGACTCCGTGGTGGTCTCTCCGGCAATCCGACGTCGAGGCGTACCAACGCATGTTCGCTGCCGCTGACTGGCGAGGCGAAGGCAAGGTCACCCTGCACGGCAGCAATCTCGAGCGCCTCGGCGCTCCGGCATCGGTCGTAGCGCAAATATGGAGGCTCGTCGATGCCGACGATGACGGCGCTGTAGACGCCGGCCAGTACTCGGTGGCCTGCCACCTCCTCGCACGCTGCCAGCAGCATCGCCTGCCCGTGCCGGCCGCCGTGCCGCCGAAGCTCACGAGGGCCGTGGCCGAGGCCCGCCAAGCCGCGCCGCTTCTGCAGCCAACGCCGCCGGCCTACGACCCACTAGCGCGGTCGCCGCGGCGGCGGTGGAGCCTCGACGTAGCCCTCGACGGCAGTGTGGCCGATACTGCTTACATACCATATGAGGCCGAGGCGGATCGAGCGAATGCGGCCATCGGGCGCCCGCCCGAGCTGGAGGGGGGGGCTTTGCAGCACACCGACGCACACTGGCACAACAAGGGCGCGGACTGAAGACGGAGACTAGCACACACCCCCACAAGGAGAAAGAATTTCACAAGCGGATCACAACAGCAGGAGTGTGTATCGCGCGGGCGCTTCGGGGGATTTTAGACAAGTAGAGAGAGACGCGCGTAGGGCCCTTAGGGGCCTAGAGAACACAACCCCTCTCTCTTTTCTCCCAGTAAGCTATAAGTACGACAAGTACGAATCGGCGACGAGCACCGACACAGAGGTTGTCGGTCTGCGCGCATTGTCGGCGCGCATTCCTCAGGCACCCGCCATCGCATGTCGTACACACACTACGACTGCAGCCCCAGCGAGGGGGTCGGCCTCTCCTTTGCCGCGTTCAACATCCAAAACTACGGGAGGACCAAAGACCAGCGTCCCGTCACGAGGGAGGTCACGGCGTTAGCGGCCTTGATGTCGAAGTTGGTGTTGAACCACGTCGCCGCCTCGTGCCCGATGCCGCCACGCGTGCTCGCCGCCCACGTCATAAAGTCGCAGTTTTTGGCGTCGCACGCCGCTGCCTTGGCCTTCCGCTTCGTCGCCTCGGCGTAGTCGGTGGCTAGGCGCTTGCCGCTCGCCAGCGGGCGCAGCCTGTCGTGGTGCACCGCGGTGACGCACGTGCCGTCGTACACCACGGCGCGTGCCGACTCTGCATAGTTGCCGAAGACGCCGTCGCCCCGCTGGTACGGGTTGGTGTCCGGATCGTGCGCCCGCGTCGGGTCCCTGCAGCCGAGCCTCACCTCCATGACCTTTGCCGAGGCGCCGAAGGCGCGGGCGACGTCCGTGACGTGGGTGTTGAGGGATGCGTGCCCCGTGGCCAACCAGCCGCCGTAGTTGCACCCGTCCCAGTGCGTGCCGCTGAGGTGCTCGAAGAGCGACAGCGTGCGCGGCACTCGCGCTTCGCCGATGTCGCACGGGACGCATCCCGGTAGCCTCGTGCGGTGGTAGATGCACACCGAGTTAGGGCCCACGCCGACGCAGCGCGTGGCGAGGGTGATGGCGCCCTTGGGGTGGTTGAGGTAGCCCTGCGCCTCGTGGAGCCACGCCTTGTCGTTCAGCTCGACGGCCTTGTGGACGACGTCGATGCCGAGCACCGCGCCCGCCCCGAGTTCTTCTTTTTGCACACAAGAAGAGAGACAACAAGTCTTTAAAAAATCTCTCTCACACAAGAAGGTAAAACGTTTTATAAAATACCAAAAGCGGTGTACAAATTCTTCAAGAGAGTTGTCTTGTTTAAATTCTTTTCAAGCGCCTCCGTTTCGTTCACGTGTGTCCCAAGACTTTGCGGGGTTTCAAGCGCCTCTTGGGAACAAGATACCGGAAGTCGACCCAGGCCACGCTAGCGCTGCAGTGCTTGCTCTCTCTCTGTGCTTGGGCTCTCATGCGCACGCTCCCCGCCCTGACGATCGCACTGCTCGCGGCCTTCGTCCATCGGTGCTGCCTGCGCATGGCCGACCCGTTTGGCGATGTCGCGGGGCTGCCGATCGACGAGGCCCGCGCCGCGCTCTTCACCGGCGGCCCAAACGGCTCCACCTTCCCGGCGGCGCTGGTTGGGGTGTTCGAGTCCAACCGCCGGCTCCGCGGCGCGACGCTCCTCTTCACGGAGGAAGTGGTCGGGAGCGAGTGCGTCGGCGTCGCGCCCAACGGCGACCTCCTCATGCTCGACCGGAACGGATTTGTGTTCCGCGCCACGCCGCAGCAGCGCAAGGGCGGCGCCCTGGCGTACGAGCTGTCGAAGGAGCGGCACTACGTCGGCCCAGGCCGGCCGCTCGGCTTCCACGTCGCCGGCGAGTGGCTGTACGTCTGCTGCTCGCTCAAGGGCCTGCTGCGGCTCCACCTCGGCTCGGGCGCAATCGAGCTGCTCTCGGGCGCAACGGGCTCGCCGCCCTCGCCGTTCGCGTACGCCAACGACCTCGACCTCGACACCTCCGGCGCCGTCTACTTCTCCTCCTCCTCCGACCACCCCGTGGCACTGCACCCGCTGGCCGGCTTCTACGACACGATGCGCGGCCGACCTGCTCTTACTCCGCCGTCATGGAGCATGGAGAAGGAAGCGTGTATCCTTTGACGCGGTGTGCTCCCTAGGCGCGGCTACCTGCTCACCTCGCTGCACGGCGGCACGACCGGCCGGTTGCTGCGGTACGACCCGGCCTCTCGCCGCACCGCCGTGCTGCTGGAGGGCATCTTCCGAGACACAGCGTAGACAGTTCGTAGACGTTTCCTAGGCGCTTCCTAGACACCTCCTAGACACTTCCGAGACACTTCCGAGACATGGACGAGGCAGAACACGTGCCGCGGTCACTACCTGTAGGCATCTCGTACACACTTCCTAGACACTTCCTAGCACACTTCCTAGACACTTCCTAGACACTTCCTAGACACTTCCTAGACACTTCCTAGACAGAAAGGAGCCGCTCACCTGCTCACGGCGCGGCGTCTGGGAAGTGTCTAGGAAGTGTCTGGGAAGTGTGTAGGAAGTGTGTAGGCATCTCGTACGCGAACGGCGTCGCGCTGTCTGCGGACGGCGCCTGGGTCGCCGTCGTCGAGACGAATCTCAATCGCGTCCTCCGCTTTTGGCTCCGCGACGCCGACTGCAGGGGAGGAGGCGGGGGCGGGGGCGGAGGCGCCTGCCCGCGCGCGGGCGACACCGACGTGCTCATTGACAAGCTGCCAGGCATCCCCGACGGCATCTCCCGCGCGCCCGACGGCGGTTTCTGGCTCGCCCTCGTCGCGCCCCTCTCGCCGCTGCCGAGGCACCTCGCGGCGTGGCCGCGGCTGCGCACGCTGCTCTCGCACCTGCTGCCGTGGGTCGCCCCTTTCGCCGTCGGGTCCTGGGGCGCCGTCGTGAAGCTCGACGAGCGGGGCAGGCCCGTCGACACACACACACACACACACACACACACACACACACACACACACACACACACACACACACACACACACACACACACACACACACACACACACACACACACACACACACACACACACACACACACACACACACACACACACACACACACACACACACACACTGGGCCTTGCACTTTGAATGCCGTGGGGCTCCTGTCGTCAGACGTGGAGACGCGAGGGTCGCCTGGCCGCTGCCCCACCACCTCGCGTGTGTGGAGAAGTTTACCCTACCTTACCTTAGGCCCGTCGAGGCGCTGTACGACCCGGACGGCTCGCACGTGGCGACGGTGAGCGCCGCCACGGAGGTGGGCGGCCGCCTCTTCCTCGGCAACCTGGGCGGCCGCGGCGTCTCGGTGCTGCAGCTCTGAGGCCTCGCCGTGCCCGGCACCTGGCGGCAGTGCACCGTTACCAGTGGCTGACTGGCACCCCGCGGCGGACCGGAGACGGCTCAGAGAGGAGCGCTCGCTCGCTGAGGTCGCTCTCACGATCTCTGACTGTCTGTGTCTCTCTGTCTCTCGCGAGGGGGGTCGCGAGCGGTGTCGCGCGTGTGCGCCTCTGTCTACTCGCTACTGTCACGTCTGAGGACAGAGGAGAGATGTCGGACGTCATTTGGGATGATCTCGTCCCTGGAGCTTCTTAGTCGGTACACAAAAGTCACACACACTCAACTGGCCCCTCACACTTTTCGTTGCTCTCTCTCCCGTCTCCCTCCGCGGTCTCGCCATTGCCGCTCTCTCGGCACGCCACGGTCCGATTTCTATCTCACGCCTCGGCTCTCGTCACACGCAAGTCTCACAAGTTGGGGTGTGCGGTATATCATAGCCCCTCGAAGATCATCGCCAGCTCGGACCCTGCCGACCGAGTGAGCGGGAGCGCCTCCGGGACGGGCGCCGCTGCCAAGGCTGCGAGGGCGTTGCCAGCCTCCGCACTCGCACGGAGCGGAGCCTTCTTGTTACGCCGCCTCCTCCGCCGTCCGATAGCCTTGCTGGTGGAGGAGAGCGATCCCACAGACGAGTCGCGCGAGGTAGTGTCCCAGCTTCGGTCGGGGCCTCGCGCGCGCTCCTCGATGGCGTCGGCCGCGTCGACCTCATCCTCGCTGTCGTCGGCCCATGACGAATGGCGGCGGGCGACCTCAAACTGCGCGCGAACCGTGTCCTCGGCGGCCGGGAGCGGAGCAGCCTCGCCCATCGCCGGTGCAGATGCCTACACGAATTTTCAGTGAATTTGCCGGAATCAGATTTGTTTTTCTTTTCGAGATACCCGCCCGCCCCCCCCCCCGGCCGCCGCCCCCGAGCCCTGTCTGTCTGTGGGTCGCTCCTCACTCATCGCAAACCCCGTCAGCAGTCGTCCTCCGGGTATGTTCGAAAGAGCTACATACATGTCGCGGGGGAGGTCATGGACCCTCTGCCAAGGCGCCGGGCGGTGTTCGCCGGCGCCTCCGTTGAGCAGTGAGCCTGAGGGTGGGCGCGGGTCGGCCAGATAGCCGGCGGTCCCCACGAGATGAGCCGCCGTGCCGGGGTCCGCGCCCCTCCCGGAGCGCCGGAGGGTGAAGACATGCCCGCGGTAGTGGGCGTTGCCTGCGTGCTCCAGGGTGCACTGGGCTCCACCCCGTTATGCCTGCCGAGGGGCGGTGGCCCATCGGCCGGCGGGGTGGAGCTCCGATCTTGCTGCTTGCCCATCGATGCTGCGTCGGCCTTGCGGCCGGGCTATGCGCTCGAAGGGGGAGGCAGGCCGAGTGAGCGCGAGCCGCGCGGGAGGCGATAGAAAGATGATAGGCTATATTTCTTAGAGGCATGCCCTCCGTAAATAAGCGGCCTCCACCAAAAAGACAGCTGACTTTGACAACGTGCCATTCCCGAACGGCTACGAGTTGCGGCTTCCGCCTTGGATGAGTGAGAGACCTGACTGAGCTCTAAAAAAAGAAAGAAAACGGACAACCCAAGGGAGGGATGGGAGGACGGCACGCCGCCACCACACAGGGATTTTAAGGAGAGGGGTGTGATGCGCTAGCCGTCGCCCACCCTTGGGCGTCCGCCTCTTGATTGAGCCACTTGAGCACTGGATAGGGTCGATTCCGCGTGGTACGGGACCCCTCGATCGTCTCGCCCTCCCTCACTGGTGTGTTCATTGGCCTCTTCCTATCTCTCTCTCTTCGCAGTCTCTCGCCGATTCTCGCTGCAACCTTCATGCCACCTCGCGGTCTTCCCACTCTCGTAGTTCTCTCCCTTGTCGCTTCTTCCTCTGTCGCGTCGCTCTCCTCTGCCTCGTTCTGCGACGCCGCCGCCGCCTGCCGGTCCCTTGTTCTCGCGGCTTCTTTCTTTCTTTCGCCTGAGCTCTGCTAGGCATCCAAGCCGGAAGGGCGCAACTCGAAGCCGTCGGAAATGGCACACGGTCAAAGTCGAATGTATGTTATTCGGTCTTTAAACAAAAGAAAAGAATTTAAACAAAAGAAATACAGAGACACATATGGCCGCCCACCGCATCGGCGCGCGCCTCGCGGGAGCTTCGCCAGAGCAACTCCTTGCCTTCATCGAGGAGCAGGCGCCTCTCTGGAGCGCCGCCGCGCTGCGCGTGGCGGAGGAGCACGCCGCACGGCTCGTGGAGCAGCCCGAGTGGGTGCTCTCCGAGGTGCTCCTCTCGCCGGACCTCGCCCCGCACATCCTCGCCCAGCTGCCGACCACGGAGCACGCCGTCAAGGGGACGTGCCGCGCGTGGCGCCGCGGCTGGAAGGAGACGCTGAAGAAGCGCGAGAGGCATTGCCTGGTCGTGATCGGCCGCGAAGACACTGATGGCGAGTTCCTCAGCTCGCTGGAGCGGTACGACCCGTCAACGAATGAGTGGGAGGAGGAGGCTGTGGCGCCGATGCCGCCGGCACGAAGGTATGTCGGCATGGCGGTGCTGGATGGCAAGCTCTACGTGGCGGGCGGCCACATAAACTTCACAGCTTCCAGCTCGGTGGAGCGGTACGACCTGACACCGAAAGCATGGGAGGCGGTGGCGCCGCTGGCACAGGCGCGGCATTCTCACGGCATGGCGGTGCTCGAAGGCAAGCTCTACGCGGCGGGCGGCAGGGAGGGCGGCGCACCTTCCAGCTCGGTCGAGCGGTACGACCCTGCGACGAACGCGTGGGAGGCGGTGGCGCCGATGGCGGCGCGGCAGTCTCACGGCATGGTGGTGCTCGATGGCAAGCTGTACGCTGTTGGCGGGTACAACGGCGACGACGGCGTCCTCAGCTCGGTCGAGCGGTACAACACGGCTACGATTGCGTGGGAGGCGGTGGCGCCAATGGGGACGGCGCGTCAGAATCCCGGCGTGGCGGTGGTCGACGGCAAGCTGTATGCCGTTGGCGGGTACAACGACGGCTGGCTCAGCTCGGTGGAGCGGTACGATCCGACAGCGGATGCGTGGGAGGCTGTGGCGCCGCTGGCGACGGCTCGAGACGAGTTCGCCGTAGCGGTGCTTGACGGCAAGTTGTATGCTGTGGGCGGTGACTCCGATGACGGCTTCCTCAGCTCAGTCGAGCGGTACGACCCGGCGCTGAATGCGTGGGATACGGTGGCGCCAATGGGGACGGCGCGGATCGGCAGCATTGCCCTGGTGTAAGTCGGTTCAGCACACAGGCGCGCGGGCGGGGGAAAGCTGAGTGTAGGGCTGGGGGTGAGTGACTGAGGCGCGCGCGCGCGCGCGCGGTGCTGGAGCGTGGGAGCGTCTGGAGAGGCATACCCATAAGGGGTACTCTGTCAAGGGCTGAGGGCGGGCGCGGATGCGCGCGTGTTGATGCGCGTTGGTGACTGTTCTTCCTTTTACGGGCGGCAAATTGACAGGCTTTTTACGTACATGCCACCACCCCCTGGGAGAGCGCACAGCTCGACGCTCGACCGCGACCCACTGGACGGGTCGCCGCGAGGCGAGCGGCGCCGGACTCAACATGCCGTACTGGGTCTGAGGTACTCTCGAGCGAATCACCACGCCGGCTGCCCGTCGCCGCGCTTGGGCCCCGTCCCCGGTAGCCGGGCCCACAGCAGACGCGATGAAGAGCTTAAGTGTGGTGACGTCGCCGCGCGCCGCGTCCATGCAGGCACGGACAAAGGTGGCCTCGACGAGCTCGGCGACCTTTGACAGGGTGAGCGGAGCCGGAGGCGGAGTGCCCTCTGCTGCCACCGCCAACCGGACAGACGGGGTGCGGAATAGCTTGGGTGAGGCGAGGCGAGTGACCGCGTCGCAGCGAGACCAGCAGCCCGAGAGTGGGGAGGAGAGGGCCGCCGAGAGGGCCGCCTGGGCCTGCGCAAGCAGACATCAGCGGCCATTTTCCGGCAAAATAAAAAATCGCTCGGGGAAGTTTTTTTGCGTGAAAGTTTTTTTGAACTCGGGGGCACGGGACGCGGCACAAACGGGGCACAAACACCAGGCTACAAAGACGGGGAGGCACGTAGTGACGCAGGGCAGTCTAGGCGACGGCGGCGTCCTCGTACTCACCTCACAACCACACAAAGAACACCCTGACATTTTTTTGCGCGAGCGCGTCTGGGTAATACGCCCAATGCGCCCACACGCCACACCCTCCTCAGCCGCGGCTGAGAGAGATTTTTGAAAACCAACCAGGGCTGACCGAAGGCGAAGCTGCCGAGCCAATGGAGAGCGAGAGAGAAAAGTGAGGCCCGCTTCAGCCTTCATCGATTCGAGGCGAAGGGTAAGATCGTAAGAAGTAGCGGCTATAGATGACGCCCGGACCGGGAAATTGGGTTTGCAAAAGCTTTACGCACTGTCACCCCCCCCGGGGCGCGGGGGCACATACCTCACATGCCCGACACTGTTATATAGGATACCTTAAGAGAGTCGCCAAGACAGAGGGCCAGTTAGTTCTTTAACCCCTCAGCGAGACCACGCCAAAATTGAGGCGCGCCGTCACCATCGGCACCACCGCCTCCCACGCATTCGTACCAGGGTCGTACCGCTCGACCGAGCTGAGGGCGTTGTAGCCGGCACCCTGTCCGCCCACCGCATACAGCCTGCCGTCCAGCACCGCCACAGCGAGCTTATACCGCGCCTCTGCCATCGGCGCCACCGCTTCCCACGCGTTCGCAGCCGGGTCGTACCGCTCCACCGAGCTGAGGCGGTTGAAGCCCGCGCTGCCACCCACAGCATACAGCTTGCCTTCGAGCACCGCCACGCCAAAAGCTACCCGCCGCACCGCCGTCGGCGCCACAGCTTCCCACGCATTCGTAGCCGCGTTGTACCGCTCCACCGAGGTGAGGTAGCCGTCGTCGCCGTTGTAGCCGCCCACAGCGTACAGCTTGCCATCGAGCACCGCCACAGCGAGATCGACCCGAGCCGCCGCCATCGGCGCCACCGCCTCCCACGCGTTCGTCGCGGGATCGTACCGCTCGACCGAGCTGAGGGCGCCGTCGTTCTCGTTGAAGCCTCCGACAGCGTACATCTTGCCGTCGAGTACCGCCACGACGTGATTCTCGCATGGCGTTGTCATCGGCGCCACAACCTCCCATGCATTCGTAGCAACGCCCCGCAAACATGTTTGCGGCTTCCCGGCAAGAGAGATGGTGCATGTGTCCGTGGGCGCGTTCGGCGACGAGGCAGCGGTTCGGGCGTGGCTGGAGAATGGCGGTCAAGTCAACATCAACGCGTCTTTCAGCGACAAGGAGCTCGACTTCACCCCGCTGATGGCTGCCGCCGACCACGGCAACGAGCGGGTGGTCGATCTGCTGCTCGAGCGCGGTGCGGAGATCAACCTGCAGAGCAGTGACGGCCGCACCGCGCTCATGGACGCCGCCAGCCAAGGCCGCGAGCGGGTGGTCGAGATGCTGCTGCAGCACGGCGCGGAGGTCAACCTGCAGAACAGCGTCGGCAGCACCGCGCTGATGCACGCCGCCAAAGGCCACGAGCGGGTGGTCAAGCTGCTACTTCAGCACGGCGCGGATGCCAACCTGCAGAACAGCGTCGGCGGCTCTGCGCTGATTGTCGCAGCCCTCTGCAACCAATCCGCAATAGTCTTCCGCCTGCTGCGGGCGGGCGCGGATACAAAGCTGCGCACTGCGAAGGGCGAATCCGCGCTGCAGCTGGCCAAGGAGAACGGCCTCGCCGAGTGTGTCGAGGCTTTCCGGCACATCGCGGAGGTGACTGCGGGCCGGCGCGAGGCGGCGGCGGGCGGCGCGGGCGGCGCTTCCTCGGTCGAGGCGGCGGTGGGAGCGATGCTCGCAGCGCTTCAAGACGACGGATTTTGAGCCGAGCAAAAGAAGGGGTGGGTAAATTTGATACAAACAGGGAGACGGTCAGACTCCATGGTCGAGACTGTGCACGAAAACGTACGTACTTGGCTAGGCATGTGTTGTGAGTATATGGTACGGTAAGTCAAAAAAACTTTTCAGTTTTAGGCAGAGAGTGTCGGCTCGTTGTGCGAGTATATGGGACACGATGTCTCAAATATGAGGGGGGTTTTGACTCCTACCGGCTCCTGACGCTATTCCTGGCAGCTCTTATGACCAGGATCAGTAGAGTGCTATGATACAGGGTGCCCATGCTAGCGCAGGAGCTGCCACACTCGCCCGGACCGTCCCCTTCTGGGGCCGGTTCCGCAGCCCGCGAGAGCCGACAGCGGGGCCGTGCCGCGGGTGCCTACTGCCGAGTGCCACAAACACTGCGCCGTCCCGCCATCACCTACAGGCTGTCTTGTGTGATGGTTGGGATGTCCAAACGCCACCATCTTGGCTCTTGCGACCTCAAACCCGCGAGCTGTATGGGTGGTCCTGACGTCCTGACGTCGACAGACGCCCAATGACCACGGTGAAGCTGAGCCGGAACGCGTCGACAAGTCTCGCCTGAGCCCGTGGCGGTCGCCGGCTGGGTCGCTGTGCACGGGCCGGTACCTCAGGCGTCACCTCCGCAGCCTCAGGTCTCACACTCCACCACCTCCGCCGGGACGCCTTCGGTGGCACGCTCGGCGGCGACTTTGTGGCAGCCCCACAGCGAGCGCGGCGTCGAGCCTGTTCGGTCTGGTCGGTTCGCGGCACTCACTGGGTGCCAGGGAGTGCGGCCGACACGCGAGCGGTGCTTCCTGGCAGCGCGCGCCGGCTGTGGGGCTGCCACAAGCTCGAGTCTTGCTTCTTTGGGACATTTTCGACGCTTTTGTCCCATATACTGGCACTATTATTTATACCAAAAGGAGGGCTACACGAGGCCCTCTACGCTGGGGTGCCGGCGCCCTACTGGGACTATTATACTCGCACAACATGCCTGTCTCCAGATACACATAAAGGCCCTTATTAAATTAAAGCCGTACGACTACGCGAGGTGGTGGGGCTAACTCGGTCCCCCAGAGTCTCAGTAGTGCGGCGCGCGGTGCGGCCCTCTGCCCTCGCTAGCGTCTCCAAGTGCGCGTCTCCACGTCTAGACGACAGGAGCCCCACGGCATTAAAAGAAAAAGTGCACGTGTCGTGTGCCGACGCACGTCAATAATTCGGACATTCAATACATACACAGTGTGGAAGGTCACATTTGTCATTTCAACACTACGGCTTTAAATGTACAGGTACAGGTGCGCAGTCACAAGCACGCTACTCCCATGGCATCGTGGCCCATGCTGCGGTCGCGCGCCACCGCCGTCGCCCCCTTCTTGCTGCGCGGCGCCTCCCCATCGACCCCGTCCTCGCCGGGCGGGTCGCTGTCTCCGGACTCGACGTCGACCAGCCCGCGGCCGCGAAGGGAGACGAAGCCACCGAGCCGTTGAAGCGCCTCCGCTCGAATGCCCGCGGGCGCCACTCTCCGCGGGGACACCGCGGACTGTCGGCGTGCCGGTCGCGGCCCTGCCATGGGAGACCCGCGCCGCCGCTTCTCCGCACGGTGGGGAACCGCGTAATAGGCCTGGTAGCAGAAGGCGGCCTGCAGGGCGACGAAGAGGCCGATCGCGGCGACGAGCGCGACCGAGTCGGCGTAGGCGTCGCGCACCTGTGATTACTTATGAATGATTGACTATCGTTACTTACTATGCGTCGCGCAGCTACGAGCTGAGTACGCCAACCTCGGGGCGGGGATGCGGTGTTGTGCAGTGTGTTCAGAGCAGCGCGTGAAGACGAGGGGTGCGAATGCAGTGAACGCAGCGGAATACAGCTGGATACAGCGGAGTCCGCGTCCTCTCGAGCGCTGGTTGGGAGGCAAGAATGCGTGGTCCGCTTCTAGGGCCGGCACGAACGCCGCCTCGAAGACGAGGAGGATGCAAATCATGATGCAGGCGAGCACGTACTTGTCGAGCAGCGTCACCTACCCCGAGAGGACCCGAGATTACCCGAGATTGCCCGAGATTGCCCGAGATTGCCGAGGCAGCGTCACGTAGGCAATCATTGGGATGGAGCCCGAGACGGACATCTTGTATGCCGTGCTGGTGAGCACGATCGCGCCTGCGTGCGGAATACGCCCTCGAGATATGGGGAGATATGGGGAGATGTGGGGAGAGACAGGGAGAGATGGGGAGATATGGGGAGTCCGACTCTAGCAGCGCCAGCCCTACGTGCTGAATACGTCCTGAGGGCGGGACAACGGCATCGTGCCGTGTATTCAGAGCACCGCGTGAGTCCGAGGGGCTACGAATAGAGCTGAGTACGGCGGAATAGAGTGCGTGTGTCCTTATCGAGCGCTGGTTGGGCGACAAGAGTCCGTCTTCCGCTTCTAGGAACGAGATATGGGGAGATATGGGGAGATATGGGGAGATATGGGGAGATATGGGGAGATGTGGGGAGATATTCCGCTTCTAGGCGACCGCGCCCATGTACTCCAGCCGGCCCTCGACGTTGGTCGTCTGCGGCGGGAAGGGCACTCTCAACCTCTGGCCGCCTTCGCAAGCCGTCGGGGCTGTGTCGGGAACAAGGCGTCTGCGCGTGGAGTGGGGCAAGACCCGGCGGCGGCGGCGGCAGCGGCAGCGGCAGCGGTGCCAGGGCGGCGGTAGCGGTGCCAAAGCGGCGGTAGCGGTGCCAGGGCGGCGGTAGCGGTGCCAGGGCAGCGGTAGCGGCGCCAGGGCAGCGGTAGCGGCGCCAGGGCAGCGGCGCCTCGTGCGCAAACTGGCAGCAGCCCATCAGCACGAAGCACGCCATCGGGAAGACCACGTTGACGAGGTGGTAGGTCGGCTTGCGCGTCACCTCGACGCAAGCCTTGAGGACCTGTTTGCCTCACGCGGGCGGGCGTCGGCACCGGGTACGTCCGGCCGGGCGACGGGCTGATGAGCCGAGATTACCCGAGATTACCCGAGATTACCCGAGATTGCGCACCGGGTACGTCCGGCCGGGCGACGGGCTGAGCGTCTCGAGGTCGAGCCGCACCTATTCATTGTCAAGCACTCTCACAGCTCACTCTCAACTTATGATTCAGAGGGCTCGAGGTCGAGCCGCACCGGCTTGTCCAGCTCCCAGACATCCTTGAGCGCGAAGTGCGTCGGCCGCTGCAGCTTGACGGTGAACGGGGACCACTTGAAGCGGACGGGCGCGACGCCCTCGTTGGCGCAGTGGGAGGAGAGGTGGACCTGCGGCGTCTAGAGTCGTCACCCGAGATTCCCCGAGATTCCCCGAGATTCCCCGAGAGAGGGACCTGCAGCGTCTGCGAGTCGTATGGGAAGTCATGCAGCTGGAAGTGCTGGAGGAAGGTGCCGTCCACGCGGAGGATCATGTGCAGGTCGTCGGCGCCCATCTTGGTCACCTTCCGCTCGGCGAACTCGAGCCTGAGCGCATTCGGAAAGTGGAACTGGTGCAGGAGCCAGGTGGCGCTCGGCCGTAGCGAAAACTCGGGCGCGGGCTCGTTGAAGCCTTCGAGGAGAGCAGCGTCGTGCTGTCCACCTCGGAGGATGAGCTGGATGAACAGGCGTGCGCTGAAGGCGTGCTCGATCTGGTCTATCTTGGAGATGTGTAAGATATCGATACGAGCAACCTCGCAGGCGAGCGGCCGCTCGCGCGGCGTGGGCGGCGCAGAGAACGGAGTGAACATGGACGGTCGCGCGGCTGCGCCAATACCGCCACGCACTGAGAGCCCGCGCCAAGCAGGACAAGGGGAGGGAAAGCCGGAGTAACAAGAGGACTGCCCACGACCGCGCACTCGCGGCCGCAGGGGAGCGAAACCCGGCGCGAACAATTTCTTTTTTCCGGAACAGAAAAATTTAAAGGGGCCTTATCTGTCGTGTGAATCGTGTTGTGCGAGCACCTACCTGCTGAAATTCTTTTCAGGCGTGGCCGTTAAAGGATTTTACCGTGTTAAAGAATTTTACAGTGTTAAAGAATTTCAAAGCAAACTCCGTTGGCCACTCCTACGCCTTCGGCAACACCGAAGAGAAGGCCCGCCGCCTAAACATGGGCTGCAAGGCGCGCGGGCAACCCGGCCAACCCTTCGACCACAAGAACGGCCACGGCTACGTCAAGGCGCATCGCGGTTTCTACCACGACGCGATCTTTGTCAAGCGCAACAACTTCAACCTGCTGCTCCACGAGACGTTCGGCGGCGGCTTCTCGCCCACCGCCGTTCTCAAGCTGCGCCGCCTCGCGCGCAAAGTCGCGCGCGGCAGCGTCGACCGCACGGCCTACTCGCCCAAGTACTCGCTCTCTTTTATGTCCCACCATGCAGAGCGCATCTCTCTCTCTGTTGTGCGAGGCGTGAACCGCGCCATTCGCTCTCACCTGGCAACCCTGTCTGCACGTCTCGCGCGCGCGTGAACAGGGCTCCAGGCCCCAAATGACGTGTGAGTGTTAGAGTTGTTTGGTATTGCTAAAAATCTCTCTCTCAAAGCAACTGCTGCAACTGCTGCCTGCAACAAAAATTCCGCTCTCTGTGTGTTTCTTTTGAGCTAGCCTTCGATGTTATAAAAACAAACGCAGGTCTGGGTGCGCTTCTCAGCTCCTCGGCCCTGGATGTGAGGTTAATAACTGCACTCCAAGTGCTCCAAGTGCAGGGCGGACACACGCACATCGCTCTCCCCCAAATGACGTGTGAGTGTTAGAGTTGTTTGGTATTGCTAAAAATCTCTCTCTCTCTCTCTCTCAGACATCAGAGAGAGAGAGAGAGAGAGAGAGAGAGAGAGAGAGAGAGAGAGAGAGAGAGAGAGAGAGAGAGAGAGATCGTATGCGCCGGAGTCCGAGCAGGAAATTCCGAGCAGTGCGCACTCAGAATTACCAACTACACGATCGTTGTACATGCACCAAAATACAACCAATATATCAATACATCACCGTCCACATCTCGATTGTTCTTGGTATGAGGGCCGCTACTCTGTTCGGGTGTGTCACGCTGAGGCTGGTCACCCTCCGCTGCGTCCCACCGCGCGCGCAGCGGCCTATAGCGCTGCCACATAGCAGCCTCAGTCAGACCGACACAGCCACTTGCTTGAATGAGAGAGGAGAGACCGTCTCTCGTGCTGAGCGTCACCCCTTCGCACTTGTTTTTTCTTTTTGTGTCACGTGGTGAGCACTTGGAGGACTCCCAGTTAGGAGCACTTGGAGCACTTAAAGTGCATTGCGTCCTTTTTTTCGCACGGTAAAATTCTTTTTTTGCAAATGGCCGGCTCCAGCGTGCCGACGCGACATGTGCGTTGTTGTGAACTGGTTGTGAACAGTGAATACAGCGTGTGTGTACAGTGCCACGTGATACTCGACAACGTGATCCTCGAGAGTGTGCGTTGTGAATAGTGAATACAGTGTGATGTGTGTGCCTACGATGAGCTCAAGCACAGAACTAATCCCATATGACTCCATATTGATCATTGTGTCCATGCAGATTCTTATGGCGGCCGATCTCCGACATATCGGATCAGAGCAGGCACCGCAGGGCACCGCCTACTGCTCGGTCGCTCACCTATGGCTATTGGTTTCTTTGCCCGTCGATCCGATTCCACATCGAGGACGACGGTCGAGGGAGGTGCAGGCGCACCGACAAAGGTCCGCACTAGAGGTCCTCAGGCCGAGACTCGGACAGAGGTCCTCTTGGGAGGTCCTCAGCACGAGAGAGGCTCTCACCTCTCTTGAAGAGGCAAGAGGAGCAATTATTTGTTGGCTCGCTGAGGCCGCTGGCACATTTTCTCACAGCGAGAGTGCGTGAGCTCGTGTGGGTGTCCTCTCACTCTCTCCGGCCAGCCTCGGTCGGTACAACAGGATGTCGGACTCGCTCGAAGGAAAGCTCTCTCGAAGATGGGCTCCAACCTCGTCGCCGACGCATTGGCTGCGGCAGTCACCGGACAACTGCGGCAGCAATCCACAGCCCCACAGGAAAACAGGCGCACGACTACTCCACAACGGCTACTACGGCTCCGGCAAGGGCTAAGGCAAAGGGCTAATACGGTAAGGGCGGCAAAAGGCTAAAGGTGAAACGGCAAGGGCGGCGGCCGTGGCGGCGTGCGTGATTTGCTTCCGCTGCTCGCAACCCCCACTCGAGTGCGGCGCCCGGATGCTAGTTAGTGCTTGAGAAGACACCACAAACGCGGCACGGCCCGTTTTGGATGTCTGCGGAGATTCTGTCTTAGCACACAAGTCATCGATGGCCAGAGTGCGATTGTGTGTGTGCGGGAGTTGGTTTGTTTTTCGGGAGGGAAGGAAGGGGCAGGCTGCTAGGTAGGTAGGTAGTAAGGTGAAGAACAGCCAGGCTCGGACTGGACACCAACGCGGTATGGGTGGACGCTAGACAGATGATGACGACACGCACGAGCGACACACAGACACAAACAAGCTCACAAGACACACAGCCAGGCTGCTCACTCACTCACCCACGTGCACCGGGCCATTGCACTTTGAATGCCGTGGGGCTCCTGCCCATGTCCGGGTGTGGAGATGCGAGGGTCGCCCCCCCTTGCCCCACCACTTTGTGTGTGTGGAGAAATTTACCTTACCTTACATTACTTCGCAGCCGCCGTTTCCCCGAAAATCGGGCGCCTGTGTACTTCGGCGTAGCCGCCCTGCCGTGCGGCCTGCCGTGCGAGCCTCCCAGCATGCTGTCCCTGGTGGACGAGATGCAGGAAATGTGGGCGAGTCCGCAGCACAAACTTACCGCCTACGAGGCCTATCTAGAGGAGCGCATCGCTCTGAGGCGCGCGCTGCACGCCACAGCTCTCTCCCGTGCGCCTACACCGTACCCGACTCCACCGCCTGCCATCTTCAGGTGCGAGGACTCGACGCCGGACGACAGCGCCTCCACCTCCAGCCGGCTCGAGGCGAAGTACCTCTCACAGCTGAGCACGCTCGAGGGCAGCAGCCCCAGCCGCGTCGGGAGCAAGCGAGGGCTCGACGAGGACAACGAGATGAGCGGTGCGGCCGCACGAGTAGGCCAACGCACCCGCTGATCTTGACTGACGCCCCGCCCGCTGTCCGAACAGGCCTGCCGGAGCTCAGCGCGTGGGCTCGTGCTCGCGCCGAGCAGGCCGCCGAGCAGGCGTTAGAGCAGGAGAGCACCGCGAAGCGGCAGCGCAAGCAGCGTGCGACGTTCTGGGCGACTGCCGTAGTCGACACGGAGCTGCTGAGCAGGCTCACGCTGCAGTGTTGAGGGGTCGTCCTGCATAGTCCACACACGTGCGCGTTCACTACACGTTAAAGCGCTAAAAAGATCATACCACCCTGGTTTTCGAGGGACGCTCGACGACGACCGCGCTCTCACACGTCACACGAACTCTCGTCAACGTCTATCAATCTCCCGGTCTCTCTCGGTGTCGGTCGCTCCCTCATGACTGACGTTTACACACTCGGCTCTACTTGTACGGTTGTACGTCGCCGGAATCCATCAGGGCGCATGCGGTGGCGTGTGGAACACTGGAAGGCCAAACTCAGTCCACCCTCTTGTACGGGAAGAAGGTGGCGGTGGAGAGGGCCCGCGACGCCCACACCCCGACGTAGGACGCGATGATGACCGGCGGCAGCAGCACCGACAGCTGCGCCGAAGCGGCGGCGGAGAGGCCGAGCATGAAGACCGTCGCGAGGGGGGTGCGCGTCACCGACGCCTGCGTCGCCGCCATAAGGCTCATCACCCACGCGGGCATCAGCGCCGCCGGCACCACTCCGGCAAAGCCGTGCGCGACGGCCGCCGCCGCGAAGAAGAGGGGGAAGATGACGCCTACTCCCGGGCGATCTCGGGTGATCTCGGGTGATCTCGGGTGATCTCGGGTGATCTCGGGTCATCTCGAGGGGGGAAGCATGGCGCCTCCCGGGAAGCCGCCCGCGCAGGCGAGGGCGATGGCGAGTAGCTTCGCGCCGCCCACGGCGACTGCGGCCGCCGGCGCCGGGAAGGGCGAGCTGACGTCGACGAGGGCGCGCGCGGTGAGCGCGGGCGGGAGGCCTGGCCAGACGTCGGACAGCGGCGTCCTACCGCAACCAGGAGCGCATCGAGAAGGTGGTGCTCCAAAACAGCGGCGATGGCAATCCAAGGAGCCGGACGTCGCACACCTCTCGCCCATCTCGTCGGCTGCGTCTCTGCCGTCTCCCTGCTGTCTCTCCGCTGTCTCTCCGCTGTCTCCCTGCTGTCTCCCTGCTGCGTCTCTGCTGCGTCTCTGCTACAGCGGCGTCCTCTGTGGGTAGGGGATGGGTTTGGGTACTGTGGGGGTAGGGGACGCCGATGAATGTCGTCAGCGCGCCCTAATTATCTCGCGGAATCTCGGGGAATCTCGGGGAACGCGTCTCTGCTACAGCGTCTCTGCCTCTGGCCGTCGAGCACGTGCTGCAGGCTGCCTTCGCCCCAGAAGAGCGTCTGCGGGAAGAGGAGAGAGAGCAGGCCGACCGCCGCGCCGACGCCGCCCTTGACGAGCACCTGCCGCTCTCGGGGCGATCTCGGCTGATCTCGGCTGATCTCGGCTGATCTCGGCCCGCCTCCACCCCACTTGATGGGTCGGCGGGTGGCACATGGACATGGACATGGCAAACCTCGGGCCAACCGGGAGCGCCAACTCTCGCTCCAACTCTCGGCCAAGTCTCGCCCTTGCCCAAGCACCTGCCGCGCCTCTGGGCCGCACGCCCACCGCCGCTCCACCGCCGCCTCGCACGCCTCGCCGGCCGGCGCCTGAGGCCAGAGTGGCCTCCGCACCGCCGCGACCGCCGCGAGGAAGAGATGACCGATCAAGGCGCCGCCCAGCCCGGCACCGAGGGAGATGGCGGCGAGGGCACGCCCGTCGAGAGCGGAGTCGACGGAGGAGGAGTAAACAAAGTGGCCGCCGACGGGCGCGGCCGGCGCGAGCAGCGCGCGCGCCACCAGCATCGACGCGCAGGAGGCGGCGACGGCGGGCGTGAGCGCGGCGTACGCCTCCGGGTGGAGCCCCGACGAGGCGCGCGTGAGCTCGAGCACAAAGAGCGCTCCGGCGAGCGGCATGCCGATGAAGGTCGTCAGCGCGCCCGCCGCGCCGGCGTAGGCCATGGTGCGGGCCATCGCGTGCTCTCCGGCGCCGTACACGCGCCGCGCGTACGCCGCGCCGACCAGGCTTCCCGCCACCACCATCGGCGCCTCCGGACCGACCGAGAAGCCGAAGGTGGACGTCAGCAGCGAGAGCAGCAGCACCGGCAGCACGGACGCCGCGGGCGAGGCGCCGCCCGGCGCGCCCGCCTCGTCCTGGTACCGAGCGATGAGCTCCGGCATCGTGTAGCCCTGCAGCCGCAGCGCGGTCAGCCCGACGAGCAGGCCGCCCACGGTGCAGGCGGCCGGTACAAACAGCGTTGCGTCCGCCAGCGGCAGTGCGGCCGGCAGCCTGCGCCAGACGAGAGTCACCGCGAAACGAAGGCAGCGTGCGTACAGGGTGCCCATGCAGGCGGTGCCGGCGCCGAGCGCGGCGGCGTGCAGCAGCGCCGTGGGCTTCTCTGCGCGTATCGCAGTGGTCCGAGCCGACATCGAAGCGGCGCGAGTAGTACGCAGCACAGAGGCTGCGCCGTCACCAGACGCCGTGGTTATGCCGAGGCGGCCTCTGCCGAGTCTGCCGAGGTTGGGTGCTCGGTACGCCGTCGACTCGGCAAAGTACAGGAGAACAAGGGCCAAGGAGAGTTTGAGCATCGCGGAGCAGCCTATTCGTCGCTGTCCTCTCTCACAGGGTGAACTGTCAGCTGTGAAGTCGCGACGGCGGTCGGCAGGTGCATGCCTGCCGACTCTGCTCGCCCACCTGGTGGCGGCGGCGGCGCCGCCGCTGACGACGGTACTGCGACCGGCGGCAACAGCGGCGCTGCCAGCGTCGTCAACAGCGTCGGCGCAGGCGGCCGGCAGCGACTGCCGGCGAACGAGCAGACGGTGCTGCACGCTTACGCTTCACTGCATGAAGCCAACACTGGCGCTCTCGACGCAGAGCACCTCGGTGGTGGTGTCGATGCGGTGGTGGAGGTGGTGGAGGAGGCGGAGGGCGCTGCGGCGGCGCTCCGTGAGGACGCGCAGCGGGCTCTCGCCAGTGCCGCAGACGCAGCGGCTTCAGGTGGCGGCTGCTACGGCAAAAGCCATGCTGAGGCTTGGGCGGAGAGTGCGGCGCTGGAGCAGTGGGCAGACGAGCTCGAAGAGCTCGCCGAGCTCGCGGCAGCGGCGGAAGACGCGGATGGATCAGATCAAGACGAACCGAAGAGCGCCAGGACATCTACAGCGAGCTGTGAGCTACCACTTTCTTCCCGCTACGCTCGTGTTATTGGAGATGTTCAAGATGCAGTTTATCGGGCCGACGATCGGCAGCGAGGAGATATTCCTCGCCTCGCTGCTCATCGTGGGCATTCGTTCAAGATGCTGAGCGACCGCGCGACGGCGACGGCGGCTGCTGCTGCTGCTGCCGCTGCTTCTGCCGCTGTTGCTGCCTCTGTTGCGGTTGCTGCCATAGCTGCTGCGGCCGCACCACCCGGCGAGGCCATCCTCGCGCGCACGGACGCTACAGGCGCGGGCGCGGGGGTGGAGGGTGCGTATGAGGCGGAGATGATGGAGGCGCTCGCCGCGTGCGGCGATTGAGCGCCTCCCTCTCTCTCCGGCTGCGCGCCTGACCGGTGCGGCCTCCGAGTCGGCGTCTAGCGCGCGCGATAAGGTTTTTGCTCGCCTTCCCTGGGACCCCGTGTTGCGTGACTCTGTGCGATTTCGGGTCCGGGGTTGTGCGTTTACGTGAACTGTCAGCGGATTCACGCTATGCCTTTAGTGGGGGAAATGGTGATTTTTGAATGAACGCCTCGCGCAAAACCACCGCTACCATGCCAAAGAAGACCCTTGTGGGCTATCCAGAACACCTAAGATCATGCCCTAGCTCTAAAGTGGGCCCGAGATACGCCAGCTAAACCCCGGATTTTTTCCGGCAGCGGGCCACACATGGCCGGCTACCCAAGCGGGTCGCACGGAGACACAGGAAGGCTGCCGCAAGCCGCCTCCGGGTGCAGGGGCCCGGCGCGGTGGGCGGGGGCAACGACCCGGTAGCTGGCCGCGCCTCTCCCCCCCCCCCGTCGCCGCTGCACCCCTTGCCGCGGCCCTCGTCGCTGCTGTAGCGACAACAGCCGCGGCACGAGGTCAGAACGCGGCCTCGGAGAGCTCGAGCGAAGGCGCCGACGGTGGCAGCCGTGGTAGTGGTTTATGGTAGAAGGCTCCTGAGCCGTCGGGCACCACGCTCGACGTCGCCGAGCAGCCGCACCTGTCGCGAGCGCCTGCGCGTCGGGCGCTGCCGGCTCGACCTCCATTTTCGGCGAGGTGTCGGGCGCGGCGGGCGGCTCCGGCGCCTCGGTGGCGACCGTGGGCTCGGTGGTCGCCTTGGGCTGCCTGTGGATGTTGTCGTTGGCTGATTTCTTATGCTTCTTGCCCGTTCGGCCGAGGCCTCGGTTGCGAGGCATCTCGGTACACGCGACGGCAGCACGACGTACACGACGAGGACGGCTCCTTGATGGCGACCTGCAGCAGGACGGTGCGCATGTTTGGAGCGTGGTAGCGGACGCATCGGGCCTAGCCCGGGGCCGTGGCGTGTACCGAGAGGCTGGTCTACCGAACACTTTTGGTGCATACCGGCCCAGAAGAGCGGCCTGGAAAAAATTTATTCGCACACTGAGCCATTTCCCCCACTAATGCCTTGCATTTTGAAATCCTTGCGCTCCTTTAGGTGCTCTTAGTATGTTCTGACTCATCCGTCCCTGACTGCCTGAGTACACTCCCTTCCTATTGTCTTGTACTTGGGGCGTGAGGGCCCAACTTCAGAATCGTGCTTTTTTGGTTAGGGACCAAAGCGAAGAGAAGAGAGAGTCTCTCTCTCTCTCCAAAGCGCGAAGGACCACTTTTGGGTTAGGGACCGCGGGCGACAGGTTAGGGACCGATCGCCGCCGCATACGCCAGCGGACGGCCACCATCGGTGTTTTTGGCTTCGCCACCGTTCAAACCCCTCCGTTCAAAGCGTGCGCAATGCGCTCGCCGACATCAAGCGAGCACGCCTGTCCGACGAGCGGCTTGCTGTGCGGACGGCTTCTTGTGGCTCTCGTCGAAGGAAGAGCCGTACGGCAAGAAGAGCTCGATGGGGAGCGAGAACCGTCAGAGGAGCTTCAAGGGTAACCTGAAGTCCTCCGTGACGCGCTCAATCGCTCCCAAGCGGGTGGCTCTCGAAAATCGTCGATATCTTCCGGAAAGACTGCTCTTGCCGAGCAGCCGATATGCCCAGACGGAGGCGCAGAAAGGCTGCGAGTACTCAACGAGTTCCGCGACCTACGCAGTCAAACCTGGTGGGAACTGACCGCATCATGGCGGACTTCCGAAACCTCCGTGAGCACCTCTGACGATTCTCGCTCCCCATCGAGCTCTTCTTGCCGTACGGCGGTCTTCCTGATGCGTGCCGGCACAGAGCTCTGTGCAAGCCGTCCAAATCGTGACGAGTGTATCGCTTTGACGGATCGACCGTACTTGTTATCAAGACTGATATGACGTACACATTGACACATCAGACGACACATGCTCTCCCACCCGCCGGGCCGCAAAACGCTCTCGACGAAAGCCACAAGAAGCCGTCCGCACAGCAAGCCGCTCGGTCGAACACGTTGCTCGCTCGTGCGGGCGAGCGCACGAGGTAGACGGTGGCGTAGCTAACATCACTGACGACGATCGTCCGCTGGCGTGAGCGGCGGCGATCGGTCCCTAACCTGCGGTCCTTCACCGCAATCGGTCCTTCGCGCTCGTCCCTAACCCAAAAAAAGCACGATTCTGAAGTTGGGCCCTCGGCGTCCTGTGGGTGAATTTCGGCGCCGCCGAAATTCAAGGTCCGTCGGTCTCATTTGACCGCGGCGTTAGAGAGAGTCTTTGCTTGTCATGCCTTTTGCCTTCTCTCTGTCTGGCGCTCTCGCTCCTGGCCAGCGTGAATCCGCTGACATGGAGCCTCGTGAGGCGATCGAACCCCGACCTTCGTACCCTCGAGGCCGCCGAGACGCTCGACCTCAACCTGCGCCAGGTTGGGGTTCCGGGAGTATTGGTTTGCCAACAATATACCTACATTGGGAGGTAGGTAGGTAGGTAGAAAGGTGAAGAACAGCCAGGCTCGGACTGGACACCAACGCGGTATGGGTGGACGCATTGGGATCGGGATGGGGTACATCGAGAAAAAGAATCGAGGTCCAAAAGTGCCACCTCAGCGCCCGGGCCCCGGCAAGGCGCCCTGCTGATGCATCAGCGCCACCTCCCACACGCCACACCCCTCCCCATCCACCCCGCCCGCCCACCGCAGCGCGCCGCGCCTGCTCACCGCGCCCGGGCCCTCCCTCTCCGCGCGCAGCACCATGGCGCTCCGCTCCCTCACGCTGCTCTGCGCTGCTGCTGGCGCGTCTGCCGGCGCAATCGAGCTGACCCCTGACAACTTCGACGAGCTGGTCCTCAAGTCGGGCAAGGCGGCCTTCATCAAGTTCCTCGCGCCTTGGTGAGGCCATTGCAAAAAGATGAAGCCCGATTGGGATTCATTGGCCTCCACTTTCGAGGACTCGAAGAAGGTCCTCATCGCTGACGTTGACTGCACCACGGGCGGCAAGCCGTTGTGCGAGAAGTACGGCGTGCGCGGGTACCCGACCATCAAGTACTTCAACCCTCCCGACGAGGAGGGCGAGGACTACAAGGGCGGCCGCAGCCTCGACGAGCTCAAGAAGTTCGCCGAGAACGAGTTGGGGCCGGTGCGCTCCTCCTCCTCCTCCTCTTTCTGCGCCTCCTCCTTCTCCTTCTCCCCCCCTCCTCCCCCTCCTCCTCCTCCTCCTCCCCCTCCTCCTCCTCCTGCGCCTCCACCTCCTGCGCCTTTTCCAGCACCGCCTCGCCCAGCACCGCCTCGCCCAGCACCGCCTCGCCCGCCGCCCACCCACCGCCCTCCTCCTCCTCGCCGCGCCGCGCCGCCGCCACCGCGCCCGCCGGCCGCGCGGCGCCCGCCGCCCCCTCCCGAGGCGGCTCGCCGCCCGCCTCTCCGGCTCCCCGACGACGCCGCGAGCTGAGACCCGGCCGCTCAGAGGCTCTGCAGCTCTGCGCGCGCGATCCGCCTGCCGCCGCCGCGCAGCCCGCCTCCTCCGTCGCCGCCTCCGCCCTCGCCGCGGCCGCCCATTTCACCGACAGCCTCGACGCCGCCGCCCCCTCCTCCTCCTCCTCCTCCCACCTCGCCACCTCACCCCCCTCACGCCCCGCCTCCCCGCGCGGCAGGGCTGCTCTGTCGACTTGATGGACAACTGCTCCGAGGAGCAAAAGGGCAAGCTGAAGGAGTACATCGACATGGCGCCCGAGAAGCGGACCGAGATGCTCGAGACGCTCAAGAAGGAGCTCGCCGACGCCGAGTCCACGCACGAGGCGCTCCTCAAGGAGCTGCAGGTTCGCGACGCGTCTGCGACACACCTGTCGGAGAGACGCAGAGATGGGGGCCGCGACCGACGCACCTAACTCCGACCCTCGCCCCCCCCCCCCCCCTTTCCCTTTCCCCCCTGCCCCCTCCCTTTCGGTTGGGTCCGCCCCCTTCCCATTCACCCCCCCCCCCCCCCCCTCCCCCTGCACTCCCCCTGCACTCCCCGCAGGCGACGTACAAGGAGTCGATGGACAAGCTGGAGAAGCTCAAGGAGGAGTCGGCGCCAAAGATCAAGTTGCTCAAGGCGGCGACCCCCGCCCCCAAGGCGGAGGGCGCCAAGGACGAGGTTTGAGCCCGGGCGGGGGCCCCTATTTTGCGTGCCGTGTCTGCCCGCGCCCGAGGCGGCGGGCGCGCGCGCGTGGTCCACGCGCAGGACCTGGTTTGCGAGGTCAAGGGGGCGGTTGCCGCCGCCCCTCAGTCGCCCGAGCGGGCGCGCGCTATGAAGCTCGATCCCATCAAACCCGTGCCATACGGGCGGTATCGAGCGGAACTCAGCGCGCCCCTCGGGCGATGCCGGCTGTCGCCACTCCTGCGCCGGGCCGCGTTCGTGCCGCGCGCCGCCTCGGGCGTCGGCGTTGATCGTAGCTGTCTTTAATTAAACACGATAAACCACTTTTTCCCTCTGGAAACCGAAGGCATTCTAGCCTCTCACGGGGACCTCAGTGTCCCACAGGGTCGACTGACGACTGACCCCGGCCCCCGCGCCCGCCGTCGCCCGTCGCGGCTCGCGCGTCGCGCAGCTCGCAGTCGCACGTCCCGCGACTCCCGAGTCCCGTCGTCCCCTCTCGCACACACTCGCCCCACGCGCCAGGCCCAGCCGCTGCGCCAGTGAGTCCCCCAACTAACTCCCGCAATCAACCCTCCCGGCCCGGCCGCGTGGAGAGAGGGGAGCACCAACCGCCGAACCAGCTCTCCCCATGTCACGCTGCTGGCTCGCGACGATGCTCTTGCTCGTCGTGCTCGGCCTGCGTGCCTGCCGCGCAGCTGGCGACGCGTGCAGTCAGGGCGTCTGCGCGGGTGGGCGCACGGATGGCGCGCACAAGTGGTGCTGTCCCAGCGACTGCAAGCGGTGCGGCGGCGCCGGATGCGGGGCGAGCGGCAACGGGCCTGCACCGACGGCGGAGAACTGCTGCCCGGCGCGCTGGCCGAGCGCGAGCGAGCCGGCCGGCGCGCCGGCGTGCTCCGCTCCCGACCAGACCGCCTGCAAGATGCCTCTTGCGGCGGCGGCGTGCGCCATCGCAGCCGGCAGGACGCGGCAGCGCAGGCCGCGATCTTCGGGGCGTGGCGGCGAGCGCAGCGGAAGTGTGGCCGACGCGCCCATCCACGCGTGCTCGTGCCACGGTCCGTTCGCGCGCCCCTATCGCGGGCAGTGCCTGCCCTCGTTCATGGTGATAGGGTCGCAAAAGGCGGCAACGTCCAAGCATCCGGCCTAGATGTCACGCTAGACACGGTGGACGCGTCTTCGGCTCGCTCAGATGTAGAGGACGCACAACCACACAGCGTTTGAGGCGTTGCAACACTGGCCGTCCCCACAACATTTGCGAACCATCGAGCCTTGAGCCCCCGGCCCTGGCGTCTTCAACGTCCCTCTTTGATCGCCGCGCAGGCTACGATGGTACCTGTCGCGCCATCGCCATCATTCATCATTCGATACAATGGAGAAAGGGTTCGCGGGGTAAGGGGCGTGGGATATGATGAGGAATGGGACAGGCAGACAGAAGAGCAAGACAGCTCGACCCCCCGCTCCCCTTCCGTCCGTCCGCGCGAACCATAGTCGCCGACACGGCTTTGGGGCTTTCAGTCAACGAGCAGAACGTCATTGTGCGCATCGTCCCAGACACGCATGCCGCGTCCTCGGATCTGTCGCTGGGGGACGCGGTGGTTGCAGTGAATGGCGAGCCGATCGGCGATATTTGGCTGCCGACTCTGCTCGAGCAAACGGGCGTGATGGAGTATACCTTCACTGTTGAGACTGCCATTGCGCCAGCCTGCTCTGACAGGACCGCCCAGCAGCTGGCGCCAGGCGGGGCAACGGCCCCAGCCGCTGGCGCCGACGAGGATGCTGGCGAGGGGGGGCGAGCTGCAGCTCCCTCCTCGAGGGGAAGGCCGCTCCGGCGGAGCTCGCCCTTCTGGGAGACAAAGCAGGCAGAGTCGCCGCCGCGCGCGGCAGCCCAGTCCTTCGACCCGCTCGTGCACGGCCAGCTGTGAGAGCGAGCTGGGAGGACGAACCGGCATTCGAGTGTCTGACAGAGAGTGCATGCGATCTTTTAGAGAGCGAGAGACGAGCGAGAGCACCATCGCGAAGAGAGTACAGAGAGCTACCATTGCAGCTACCAGCTTGAGCTAGCTTGTAGCCACGGTTCAGCGCCGCAGCAGAGGGCCGCACGCGCTGAGACGGAGGGTTACTCGTGGTGCGTTCTGCCTGTTGGAGCGTGCGTGTGGGTGTATTTTGGCTTTAGGGCGCGCTCGGGCCGGTTCGTTCGCGGTGTTGGTGAGTTGGTCTTGGGGTGGCCTCTCGCTTTTTCGCCGCGCGCCACACAAGTCACAACGGCCTGTGACACACAAACGAACCCACCCGCGCGGCGCAGAGGACCCCGCACACGCCGAGCGACGCGAGTAGGGTGCTCTCTATTAGGTGACACCCCGCTCGCGTGCAAGTCTTTGAGACCTGGGCACGCCCCCGTGTTCCCAGCGTTCTCTCTGCCCTCGCTGCTGCGCACACCCGAGTCAAGGCCGGCGTGTCGCGTCCACGGTGTGCAGCCGCTCGCACCGTCCCACGGCGGTTGCAGGGCCAAAACCTGACGCCCCCCTCCGCTGCGGCAAGCGCCTTCCGCTCAATGCGGGGCAGCTCAGTTGCCGCCCAGCGCCGGCAGCTCGGGCGGCTTGAGGCTGCTGAGCGCCTCGGCGAACGCCTCAAACGGGTTCGGCGCGCCTGCCGGCAGCGACTCTGCAGCCGCGAGCGCGGTTGTCACGTGCGACTTCGGGTCAAACTGGTTGTTGTGCACGCTCACCACGGTGCCCGACTGGTCGACCACGTACGTCTCACGCCCACCGAGGAGCCCGAAGAGGTCCTTCTCGATCGCAAGCTCTTCACGCATTTCGTCGCCGTCGTCAACGATCACCCGAATCGGGCCGTCGTAGCCCTTGGCGCCAGCGCCGTTGCGAACGCCGACGACGGAGACGCCCCGCGCATCAAAGTCGGCGAGGCTGCCCTACAAGATTCGAGCACCCGTGACACCACGCTCCGTCTTACTCTACGAGCTGGAGCGATTTCATTCATGAACCGCAGGCGAGCGACACCTCGAACGCGCTCAGCTCCTTGGAGCACGAGGGCGCATCGTCCGCACCATAGAAGAAGAGCGCGCCCTTCTTTCCCGAAAGCCCCGCCTTGCTGAGGACGGATTTCGGCAGCTTCTCGCCCACAGAGATCATCTCAACAGCGGAGCAGCGTGCGCCGCCAACCGCGGCAGCGCACGAGGGCAGCGTGAAGCCCAGCGAGGCAGTCGAGGAGATCAGTGCCAGCATATTTGCGGTGTTGGAATCACGGAAACTTCCTGAACCCTCCCAAGATATTTTTCAGTGCATCTCAGTGTACGTACTTTTGGCTTACTGGGAGAAAAGGGAGAGGGGGTTGTGTTCTCTAGGCCCCTAAGGGCCGTCTACTTTTAGCTTACTGGGAGAAAAGGGAGCTAAAAAGGGAGAGGCAGGCGCGATTTCTAGGCCCTTGGAAGCAAAACAGTAACGGGTTTTGGCCCATGCGCATGCTCTTCCTCGTGCTCGCCGTGCGCTCGGGAGCCGGAGTGGCGGGGTCGGAGCTGCTGCAACGGCGCGAGTGGCCGCGAGGGGTCGTGCTGGGACTCTCCAGAGGGCGAGACCACTACGCGGTGCTCGCGGCGGCGCACGGGGCAGCTTCAGCTGAAACAGAGCCTCAGCAGCGCCTTCAGGCAGTGCACGTCCCCGAGAATGGTCCAGTCCCGGGGTGCAAGTTGCTCCTCTTGGAAGAAGCAGTGCGGCGCGCCGGGCTGTGCGCGCTTGTTGCTGTCAGGCCCGCCGCTACCAATCTGCACGGTACGCGGGTCCGGCACTGATGCCGTGAACAGCTGAGGCACGAGCGTCTCCTCGCTCGCGCCCTTGGGGGGGGACAGCTCCCCGCGCGCGGCCTTGTGCCACTGGCCGCCGACGGGTTTGGGGTCCGATGACATGGCGTCTCTTCACACTCGATCCGCCTGTCTGTTCACACCTTCTTTCTGCCCACTTCACAATGTGGCAGGGGTTCGTTAGCCCAGAAAAGAAGTTTAATAAAATACGCACACAAAAATGTTTTTACACCGCCACGACGCCAGTCCGCTTGTGGCATCACTCCGACACACGATTTTTCACTCCCCACAGCCGCCAACCAAGACTTTCGCGATGCGTTTGTGAGCATGCTCCAAGAGCGATTCACATTGCGCGACAATGGCCCACTCACCTGGGTGTTCGGTTCTGCCGTCGAGCAGGACCTAGAGCAAGGCACCGTTAGCTTTCACCAAAAGCTCTTCATTCAAGATACCGTCAAGGAGTTCCTGGGCGACGACCCCCGCCCTAGTAAGCGCGCCGTACCGTGCAACGACGACATCACCAATCTCACCCACCTCGAAGAGGGAGAAATGATGCACCCACGATACGCCGAAATTGTTGGCAAGATAGGGTGGTTGGCCAACATCTCCCGACCAGACATTGGCTACGCCTACTCGATGCTCTCAAAGTTCCTAAAGGGGGGCGGGGAGCGCCATTTCAACATTGCCCTTGGCGTCCTCGCTTACCTGTGGAGGTGTAAAAACATTTTTATGTGCGTATTTTATTAAACTTCTTTTCTGGGCTAACGAACCCCTGCCACATTGTGAAGTGGGCAGAAAGAAGGTGTGAACAGACAGGCGGATCGAGTGTGAAGAGACGCCATGTCATCGGACCCCAAACCCGTCGGCGGCCAGTGGCACAAGGCCGCGCGCGGGGAGCTGTCCCCCCCCAAGGGCGCGAGCGAGGAGACGCTCGTGCCTCAGCTGTTCACGGCATCAGTGCCGGACCCGCGTACCGTGCAGCAGTGTGAGCCGCTCGCGAGGTTTCCCGCGCCGCGAACTCGGGACCACCCCAGTCAGCCGCGCGCCCGGGCAGTGATGCTCTGCCTCGCGCTCGTCGTGGGCATCGACGCCGGGTCGCCTAGGCCGCCGCATCCTCGAGCACCTCGTAGACCAGGCTTGGCAGCGGAGCGCTCACGAATCTGCTGTCAGCAGGAGCCAGCTCCGCCACCGCTCACAGCCTTCGCTCTCGCCTCCGCGCCCGCCGCCGCTGCCGCTGCCGTCGGCGAGGGCTGGTTCGTCGCCGTCCTCGCCCCATTCCTCCTCCTCGCCAACACGGTAGAGGCGCCTCCCTTTGCAGCGCTCCTCAGGCGCCGCCTCTCCCTGCCCCGTCTCGTCTCGCCGCCTCGTGCTCCCGTGCTGCCTCACTGCCTCTCCGCCTCGTCACCGCCCGTCTTGCTGCCGCACACCCCCTCCTCGACTTGTCGCTCGCACGGCCACTGCGTCACTGCTCTCCGATGCCTCCCCTCGCCGCCTCAGCGCGGCGCTCGTGTACGACGCGGGCGCGGCTCTGCTCAACCACCCGGCGGGCTTTCCCACCCCCTGCCCCGCTGCCCTCGCCGTCGCTGTCCTCACCGCCGCCGCCTCGCCACCTGCCCTCACCGCCGCTCCTCGCACCGCCGCTGCCCTCGCCCGCGCCGCCCTTCCCCTTCCCCAGCGCGGCCGCCAAGCAGCAGCCCTCTCCGAGCCCAGAGTTCTCGAGATTCGTCGAGATTTCTCGAGATTTCTCGCCTGAGGAGGACGCCCCTGCAGGCGGGACCGCTCGCCGTGACCGCGATCGCCTCGCTCGGCTTCGCCGCGCTCAGCGCGCGCGTCGCCGACGACGCGATCCAGCGGCCGGCGCCTATCTCTGCCGACGAGGCGCGTGCCGGGGCCCTGTTCTCCTCATCCTTTTAGGCGCTCACCGGGCTGCCTCCGGCGGTAGGCGCGCGAACGAGCCGACGACGACGCCTTTCGAGAGGCAAAGAGGCGGGCGCTCTCGGAGCGGAAGTCGTGGGACGCGCGACTGCAGTGGCGGCTGCGGAAGCGGCGTCCGCCCAGCGACGCAGACGAGGACGGAGAGTGAATTATCTCCACGAGAATTCTTCTTACGACGTGGTGAAATTCTTTTTACGACTCACGTTTCTTCAACCGGATCATGTAGTCCCCACAATCGCTGTCGTGGGAGATCGCTTGTCATGTGAGAGAGTCAGAGTGCGTTGACCGTTGTGTGTGTGTTTTGAGTGCACTTGCAGGCATCGTCCGACGGCGCCACCGGAACGCCCTCCTCGCGCCGGAAGACACACCGGACGTGCGAGTTGACACGATCTACAACGAGGCGCGCCGAGCCCTAATCCGGACTTACGCCCACACCCGCCGCCGAGCTCTCGACGAGGAGAAGGCGATTCGCCTCCGAATCCCGGGCTGGCAGCCGTCGCCAGGGGAGGGGCCTGTTGCGGAGTGGGAGACGGAGTGGCTCGCCTCAGGATTCTTTTCCAGCGAAGGTGAGTGCGAGCTCCCCGAGACGCTCGAATCTATCCGAGGGGTGGCGGCAAACGGCTGCGCGGTGAGCACAGTCGCACTCCTCTGTGTAGCGCCTCAGGGTGAAGGGGGGGCATGCCGGGTCAAGCTGAGACTAATGGTCGAGGCACCAGGGGTCGTTCTTCGCGCCCACAGCAGCAACTGGCAGAGCAGGCGCAACGACGCCCGCCCGACTGGGTGGCATACACAGACGGGTCGGAGGACCTAGGGAAAGCAGGGTGGGCCTATGCAGTACTCATCGGGGGCGACGCAACGGCGATAGGGGCGCGTCGCTGGCGAGCGAGGGCTACGGGCCAGTTGTCACTTCGGCGGCGCACCCAGCCTACCTCGGCGCGCGCAGGCATACCAACAACACGGCGGAACTAACCGCCCTAGCCGAGCTCCTCCGGGCTCTCCTGTCCTCGTCACCGCAACGAGCGGGCTCACGCGGAGTAGTGCGGACCGACAGCGAGTACGCGGCGGCGTGCATGATGGGGAGGGTGACCCCCAAAACGAACAGACAGCTAGCGGAGCGCCTTCGTTCCCTCTGGCGACGCCTTCGCGCCAAACACACCGTGACGTGGAGGCATGTGGCGGGTCACAGCGGCAACAAATGGAACGACTACGTCGACGAGCTAGCTGCTCGCGGCAGGCAAGGTGACAGAGGCTCAAACGCTGCCGAGTGGGCGGACAACACCATCCCGACGGACACTCCCGACGAGGGGAGCGACACGGAAGGACCCGCCCCCGCCCCTCGGGGCGGGGGCCCCCGCCCCCCCGGGGGGCCCTTTGGGGCCCCTCCAGGGGGCGACCCCTCCGGGGAGGCCGGCCCTCCCCGTGCCGGTTCTCCCCAACCAACCCCGCCGGCAGCGCGAGCTGCCGGCCATATTGAGCGGTTCAACCGCGTCGCGCACTCGTCCCAACCGAGGGCCGCAGACTCGTTCGGCGCGCCAACGGCTGGTGACGCTGTGTTGCCCTTGAGCTAGTCCTTCCCCGGTCGCCTAGCCTCTGCGCTGTCTGGCGGACGCCTGTATGCCATGCACGCGGACCACGCTTGCGTGGATACGTGGCTGGCAGGCTGACCCGTGTGCGGGGTAACCCGCGCACGGGGAAGCTTCACGGGTTCGAGCCGTCAAACATTGAGCAGCGGAGGTGTGCCGAGGGGGACCGGGAGGCGGTAAGTCGTCGTCGCCCGGCGCTGCATGCAGCACCGTGGCGATGGCGCTAAGAGGTTCCTCTTTTCCGCGCCCCCCCCGCAAGGCGCGCGATACACACACACACTCGGACTGGACACCAACGCGGTATGGGTGGACGCGGGACAGATGATGACGACACGCACGAGCGACGCACAGACACAAACAGACTGAGTCTTGTCTGCCAACAATACACCTAAAACAGACAGGGCCGGATGGGCACCCGCGTTTTCTCTCTTTGAGAGCGCCTTCGTTGTTAATAATACAAGCCCAAGGTCCCTGGTAGCAGCCATCACTCGCACACACACGCCACACCGCACCGCCCCCCCAGCCCCCGCCCCGCCGAGGTGGGAAAGAGACGAGGAGATGGAACAGCCCGAAGGAGGAAGCACAAACACGTATGGGAGGGTTCAGTAATGCGCCACGCTGCCCGGCGTTTCTCACTTTCCGGGACAGCCCCGCCCTTGCGAGGCAGGAAAGTGACGGCTACCCCGTACGCCCTGCAGCCTGCTACTCCGACGCCGACTGCCCACTCCCCCCTCCCCTTCCCCCCCTTCGAATTCGTCGGCCCCGACAAGCTGCCCGACGTTGGGCCTCCGCCCCGCACGCCCCTGCCCCTCCCCGCCCCGCGCACACACCCCGACACGCACATACAAGACAAACCCGGCGTCCTGCTCTCAAAAGAAAAAGAAAAAAGGGAATGAGGAGACCAGCGGGGGAGACTCCCCGCCTATGCAAGCCCCAGAGAGGGGCCGCCATCGCCGAAGCTGTGCCAAAGCATAACTCCAAAACCCGCAGCGGCCCGGGGGGCCTTGGGGGCAGCCTGCCGGACCGCCGCTGCACGGGGCTAGGCACCAGAAGATGAGTGGAATTGATGAATTGGGCCGGTGTCCGTGCCTCCCCTCTATACGTCAGAGTGGGACCTACGCCGCGCCGGGTAAGGGGCGCGCCCGGTCCTCGACGGAGCCGCGCGCCCCGAACGACCCAGGCGGCGAGTAGTCGTCCTCGAACCTTCGACATGTAGTTGCCCATAGTTAGCGCCCGCCCGCCCCCCCCCCTCCGTCGCTTCGCAAAAGAAAAAACAAAATAAAACAAGCAAAAGAGAAAGCGAAGCCAAAAACGATTGCGTAAACGGCGTCACAAAGCCCGCCGGTTTTGATCGACAATCGTGAGATTGACCGCCGTCGACCAGAGAATGGCAGACGATGCGTCAGCTTGTGCGGCGCTCGCGCCGCGCAGGCTGGCCCATCGAGGGCACTCTCTGGCGCTGTCCGGGCCAAGCGCGGCGCCGCGCATGCTGCGTGCCACTCGCCGTGGCTTGCGGTGCAGCGCCACTGCAGCCTCGAAAACACCGCGCACAGCACCAGCATGCTGCCCACCAGGCAGCAGAGTGCTGCACCGGCGCGCAGCGGACGCTGCGGCGCTGCAGCGCCGCCTCCCTGCCCTGTCCACGGAGCAGGCGAGCGGCGGCACGGCCTTCCACCAGCTGCAGGAGGTGCGCACTTCCCGGTGGAAGCACAGGATGCTCCCTCCGCATACGCAGCTTTGCGCAGCGCAGCGTACGGGCCACGCCACGCAAAGCCGACCCTCAGTCTGCCCAAGAGGCTGTCTGCGGAAGGCCTGGCAGCGTGTACTCGCCTCCTCCGCGGCCATGCCCTCCGCCCGGGCGAGCGAGGAGCGGGGACACAACCATTTCTGGAATCGTGTGTCCGCGAAAAAGATTTTTTTTCTCTCTTCACCCACGCGTTTGTACAAGCAAGGCCATATATATGCTCTCCCTCCTCTCCACGCGCGTTGTCGCCTCCACGGCGCTGCTCCTCACGCCCAGCATGTCGACGGCGCGGACCGCTGTCCGCCGCTCCTCTGGCGTCCGCGCATCGCTCGAGACGGACACGGACAAGGCCTTTTACTCGATCGGCTTCAACGTTGGACGGTGGCACTGCAGCCCACTCCTCATAGCGATGCGCACCGCGTGCCCGACCATCGCAAAGCGCTCCTCGTCCACCGCGCACCGCCGGCTCCGCATCGCAGGCAGCTCAGCGACTTTGCCGCTTGCGAGCCGGCCGAGATTGACTCGGTGCTCGCCGGCATCCGCGAGTGCCTTCTCGGCGACGAGCCGCAGGTGCCGCTGTCCGAGTACGTGCCAAAGGCGATGACGCTCCTTGGCGAGAAGCAGGCAAAAGTCGCCGAGGCTATGGCGGCCAAGGGCGCCGAGACGCTCGCCGCCGCCGCAAAGGAGGAGGGCGCGGTGCAGACTGCGTCCGGACTGGTGGTGCAGACGCTGAGCGAGGGTAAGGGGGACGCGCCGACGCGCGAGAGCACCGTCAAGGTGCACTACGAGGGCCAGCTCGTCGACGGCTCCATCTTTGACTCCAGCTACCGGCGCGGATAGCCTGCAGCTCGGCCTGGAGAGATGTGGGAGATACGGGGAGATACGGGGAGATATGGGGAGATATGGCTCGGCCTGCGGCGCCCCATCGACGCGGAGGAGTGACGAATGGCCCAACAGGCGCGGCGAGCCCATCGAGTTTCCGCTCAGTGGCGTCATCGCGGGTCCGGGTAGCCTAGATGCGGGGTGGGGTGCCTCTCCCCATCTCCCCCCCATCTCATCTCCCCCCAGATCTCCCCCCATCTCGAGGCGTAGATGCGGGACATCTCCCCAGATCTCCCCCCATCTCGAGGCCCAGATGCGGAAGGCAGACCCGTGTACTCGGGCGAGCGTAAGGCGACCCGCATTCAGCGCAACTACTCTCACAGCTCCGTGTCGCAGGTGGAGAGCGAGCCTCCACGTCTCCCCACATCCCCCCACATCTCCCCCTCTCCCTCCCCCTCTCTCCTCCTCTCTCCCCCTCTCTCCCGCAGGGTGGACAGAGGGACTCCAGCTGATGAAGCCGGGCGGCAAGGCCAAGCTGACCATCCCGTCCGACATAGCGTACGGCGAGCGCGGCTCCCCGCCCGCCATCCCGCCGAAGGCCACCCTCATCTTCCAGGTGGAGCTGCTCGAGGTTGTCTCATGATTACAGGGACCAGGGAGGGGGAGAAGGGGGGGGGGGGGTTGCGGGTGAGGCCGCCGCCCGGCGACGTGTGGCTCGGCACTGCCATGCCGGGCGGGGTGGCGGTAGCCGCCAACAGTGCGGCGCGGTAGTGATCTGTGATCTGTAAGGGTCCGCCCGCAGGCGCATTTTGTATACCGAGGCGGTGCCCGGTGCCGAACCTGTCGGACCTTAAGACAGCATTGTAGATCCCTGGGCGAGGGTGGTGGCGTCCCCGTCGGGAGGGGGGCTGTCTGGGGGGCGCCCTCCCACCGTCACCTCACCAGCGTCCCGCGGGGTGAGTACGGCGATATCAGAGCTCCCCCGTTCGTCAGACTTCCCCGTTGGAGGTAGGCCCCCGCTCGTCTAGCCAATCAGCCTTAAGCGAGCGGCCTGGCCGTTGGAATGGCCGGGTTTGGTGGACTTGCGTCCTCGCGGGGATTCGTCCAGCCCCTTGGAGTGTCGATCACCCCGCCCGCCCGCCCCGCCCCGCCCGCCCGCCTCTCCCCGCTTGCCCGCCCGCCCGCCCGCCCGCCCGACCGACCGACCGACCGACCACCCATTCGCCATTCCCATCACCATCTCACATACCTTCATATAGGCGCTCGAGACCTCCTCTCGCTGCCTACTCGCTGCCTCTGGGGAGGAGGGGAAGACGTAGGGTTGAGCTGGACTCGCCTTTCCTGAGGCCCCTCCCCGAAAGGCAAGTTTTAGCCAAATGAAACCGAGACCCCTCCCCACCACCCCAATCCCCCCACGCTCCCCTCCCCCCCTCGGGAGGGCCGAACTGAGGCGCCCGTGGGGACCCCGCAATTCCCTTCCCCCTCGGAGGGGGCCGGACGAGGCGTACCCCGAGGGCCCCACTCTTTCCTTCGCATAGCGGCCACTCTTCGGATCGCTGGTCGAGCGACCCGGGGGATGCCCCGCGCGCCTGACCCAGGCGCGAAAACGAATCTGCGAGGCGTGGCCGCTCATGCGGCCCGATGGGGAGGAACGGGGCGAGCCCCCTCCAACCCACCCGCGCTAGGTCTCGGGTTTGACGCATGGGGTCACTCCCGCGAAACTCGGGAACTAGCCGGGGCAGTCGGAGAAGTGGAGGAGTTGCGGAGCGGCCCGGCCCGCGGCGCTGGCGGGGGGGCAGGAAGTCCCGCGACGGGCGCCGGCGGGGGGCGCGGCGGGAGCGAGGGGAGGGGGAGGGGATGGAGTCGGAGGATGATGGGGATGGTCCTCTCGGGTCTCGGCGAGCACCACGGTGACGCATGGGGTCACTCCCGCGAAACTCGGGAACTAGCCGGGGCAGTCGGAGAAGTGGCAACTCCGTGCACTGACGGTCGGCCGTCAGAAAACACGCCTCCGTGGCTCGGGTTACACCAATCCTCGCTACCCAACGCGGCCAAAGGATATCCACCTCGAGAACCTCGAGAGCCACCATTCCCACGACGCCTTCTGTGAGGAGGACGGCATCTGAGGGCGACGGAAGCCGTCGCCTTTGCAGTGCCAGTCCCGTACCCGGTGTCGTGCGACGGGACCAAATGTCGCTGCTCCTGCTGTCCGTCTACGGCTTCTCTCCCGCTGGCGACGAAGTCAAGGCCCTCCCAGGCTGGTATGGCGCGCTCCCTTCCCGCCAGTTCTCTGGCTATCTTAGCGTCGGCGAGCACAAGAAGCTGCATTACTGGCTGGTCGAGGCCGAGGCCCGCCCAGAGTCGGCGCCTCTTGTGCTGTGGCTGAACGGTGGGCCTGGCTGCTCAAGCTTGGACGGCTTCATCTACGAGCATGGGTGCGCCGCTCGCTCACACTTCCGCGTACTCCCTGCCTGCTGACGCTACCTCGGATGCCCAGGCCGTTCCGGACGAGTCCCGAGGATCCCACCAAGCTCATCCGATTCGAGCACGCGTGGTCCAAGGTCGCCAACATGCTGTACCTGGAGGCGCCAGCAGGCACCCACGCGCACGCGGCCCTGCACTTGAAAGGAAGCTCTGTGGAGATGTTGCCTTGCCTTTAGGCGTCGGCTTCTCGTACAGCACCGACCCCGCGTGCAGCGCGGGCAGCGCTCGGCCGTGCTCCGACTACCGGACGGACGACGACCAAACGGCGGCGGACAGCGCAAGTGCGCTGCAGGCCTTCTTCGAGGCGTTCCCTCGCTTCCGGAGCGCCTCGATGTTCATCACGGGCGAGTCGTACGCCGGCGTGTACGTGCCGACCCTCGCCGAAGCGGTGCTTGCGCTCGTGGACAAGGGAAGGTGGAAGGGCGCCGCGCTCGAAGGCATCGCCGTCGGGAACGGCTGCTCGGGCACAGAGGTTGGCGTGTGCGGCGGGCAGCGCTGGATCTACGACACGCAGTATCTGCTCGGCACGGGCTTCGTCTCGCCGCGCCTCAAGACGCAGGTCCGTGCCGCGTGCGACTTTGGAGCGTCGGAGCCCTCCGCGCCGTGCTCGAGGCTGCTCGACCAGATGGGCGAGGCGGTCGGCCACGTGAACCTGTACAACGTCTACGGGCAGTGCATCTCCAGCGGGGGTGCTGTTTCCAATGGCGCCGTTGGAAACAGCAGCGCCGACGCAGTCCGGTTGCCGTCCACGCAAAAGATACCGTACGCGGGGGGCGGTTTCCTCGGCGGCGGCAGCGGCAAGCTCTTCTCGGGCCGCACGCGGCTGCGCGGGCCGGACGCCTGCATCGACTCGGCCGCGGGCTCAGCGTACTTGAACCAGCCGGCCGTGATTTTGGCGGCGCACGTCGTGAAGCAGCCCATCCCGTGGTCGACGTGCGGCAACCAGATCAGGTACACGTCCACGCGCAAGAACCTGCCTCGAGACACGTACCCGGCCCTGGTCAAGCGGCTGCGCGTGCTCGTCTACAACGGAGACTGGGACGCGTGCGTGCCGCACACGGACGCGGAGGCGTGGACCGCGGGCATGGGGTACGCAGAGGCGGCGCCGTGGCACCCGTGGCGCTACAAGAACGGCACGCAGGTGGCGGGGTACGCCACGCGGTACGCCGCGAACAACTTCACCTTTGCCACCGTCAAGGGCGGCCGGCACGAGGTGCCGGAGACCGCGCCCGAGCAGGCGCTCGAGCTCCTCTCGCGGCTGGTGGGCGGCAGGCAGTTCTGATGGCGGGCATGGCCAGACGTCTTTATCGGTGTACTGGTCCACTCGGTTCTGCGCCCACCGATGCGGATCATTCATACTCGAGACGCAGATCTTTCTGCTCCGGCTCCCCGGTTCGAGCCGGTTCTGCCCTGTGCTCGCTCGTGTCTGCGCTAGCGCCTTAAAATTGTGCTGTCCGTGACCGGCGCCGGCGTCGCCGTCGGTGTCGGGTGTGGTGCGGGTCGCCCGTGGGCGTGGCCCCCGGATGTGTGCGTAGCTCCGTAAAAAATGTGTGCACGTGTTGCGCCCGCGGGCGGCCGCCGCAGTGTGTGCACAGTTTGAAGGGGTGTGGATGCTGTGAGAGATTGCTGAGTTGGGGCTGCGCGGAAGGCGGCACATCCTCTTCTGCGAGGTCGTACGTACGGTACGGCTCTCTACGGCTTTACGAGCGCAGCGCCCGTCAACACTACTAACACTCGGTCACGAACTAACCAATCGATCTCGCCTGCGAGGTCGAGCTCGGCCGACCGCTCCACACTCGCCGCGCCCGCACCGGTCCGCGACACCTCCGAGACGCTGCCCACCTCCCTCGCCCGCCGCGCGCCTTCCGAGACGCGCGCCTTCCACACCCGCGGCCCAGCCGCCCAGCAGCGCACACCTCTTGCGACTCGGTCCGGCCGCCCAGCAGCCCCGCGACACGCCCGCGACTCGTCCGCAGACCTCGACCCAGAGAAGGACCTCGAGGCGAAGGGGTTCGACTCGGTCGCCGCGTCGGCGTCGGCGGGCGGGCTGCGCGCGCCCGAGTTCGTGCTGCACCGCACCGAGCGCGTCGTGCCGCGCTACGTGCTCGCGGTGGCGCAGTGCGGCAGGGGAGAGCCGGCCGAGCTCCGGCCCGCACTCGGCTGGGGCAGGGCTCGGCCACCGGGGGAGTGGCTCGCCGCCCTCCGCGCCGCCGCCGCCGCCGCTCCTGCCGAGGTCGCGGCCGAGGCGAGGCCGGGCGGCAAGGGCGGCGCGGCGCCCGGCACGGGGCAGGGCGTGTTGCGGCGGCGCGGTCGGCGCCTTCGCCCGGCGGGGTCGGCGCGCTGCTCTCGCCGGAGGAGCGCACGCTGCTCAAGGAGCTTGTCGCGGGCGGCACGCGGGTGGCGCGGCGCGAGACTGGCGGCTGGAGCTCGTGGGGCGGGTCGGCCCTCTCTGGCGAGAGGCTGGTGGTTGACGCTGAGCGGGCGGCTCTCGTGTTTGAGCACCTTGGCGACGAGGAGGAGGGCGGAGGCGGCGGCGGAGGCGGCGGAGGTAGCGGCCAGGATGGCGACGACAGCGGAGGCGGCGCCTTCCTCGCGGCCGTCGGCCTGGAGTCCGTCTCGTCGATCTCGCCCGCTCCGGCGGCGTCCCCTCCCGGCCTGCTGGTGGAGGTGCGCGGGTCCGGGTGGGTATGGTCTCGGCAAGGGACGGTCTCGCTCACGCTGCTGCCCGACGCGGCCGGCGGCGGCGGCGACGGCGGCGGCGGCGGAGCCACCCTCGAGGCGCGCCGCGACAGGCTGCTCGCGCTGCTGCGGGGCCTCGCCTCGCGCGTGCCTCCGCGGCTGCGGGAGGCGGCCCCGCCCCCCGCCGCGGCGGCGCTTGGTTGGCCGACGAGTCGAGCTACCGCGCGGAGCGCGCCTCGCTGTCACCTGCGGAGGTGCGTGCGCTGCTCGGCCAGCCGGAGCCGCCCACTTCCCTCTGCGACTGCTTTGGCGCCGAGCGGGGTGCGTCGGCGAGAGCGGTGGCGTCGTCGCTTTGCGACTGCGCAGAGGCGCGCGCCTCCTGCTCCTCCTTCCTCAGCGGCCCCCCGATCGAGGTCCGTCGTCGAGCGCGGTCGCGCCTCTGGAGGAGCCCTGCTTGAGCCTTGTCTCAACTGCATTGTAGGTCGTCCTCAAGCTAGCTTGCGTCCCGCTCGCCCTCCCGCTCGCCCTCGCGCTGTTGCTGCTTTGGCGCGTCCTGCCCGCGGCGGCGCGGCTGGCCGGATCGGTGCTGCTCGCCGCCTGCCGCGCGGTGCACGCCGGCTGGGTGTCCGCCGTCGAGTGGGTCGCCACGCACTGCAAGCGCTGCGTCTACGCGCTGGTCGACCGCTGCTGCCTCCCCCTCTCGCGTGCCGTCCGCGTCGCCGCCGCCCCGCTCGTCGCCGCCGCCGCCGCCGCCCTCCGCCTCGCCTCGCCCGCGGCGCGCGCGCTCCGCGACGGCACCGCGGCGCGGCGTGCACGCGAGCCGAGATCGCCCAAACTTGCCCAAGATCACCCCGAGGTCGTTTGGGAGCAGGCGCTCGGCGTGCACGCGAGCCACGCCGTGTGCGTCGGCGCCCGCGGCGCTTGCCGCGGCGCCGTGGCGCTCGACGCGCTGGTTACCGAGGCCGTCTGGCTCCCCCTCGAGGCTTGCGCGCGGCTCGCGTCGCACTTGCTCGGAGGGTGCGCGGCGGCGACGCAGCGCGCGTTCGCCTCTGCGGGCGACGCGCTGCTACGGCTCGTCGCGGCTTGCTGCCGTTTGCTCGGCCACGCGATTTCCGCGTTCTGCTCCGCGCTGAGCATGATTTTCGACGCGGCGGCGCCGCTCGTCTCCGCTTTTGTGAGCGCGGTCTCCTTTCGCATGCGCCACGTCGCCGCGGCGCTCTCGCCGGTCGTGACACTCGTGCAGGCGGCCCTCTCCGCCGCCCTCTCCGCAGCGCTGGTGGCGCTCGCGGCGGCGGCGGCGGTGGCGACGTGGGTGTTCGACTCGTTGCTGGCGCCTACGTTTGCGGCCGTGGCGGGAGCGGTTACCGCCGTTGGCACGGCGGTGGCGGGCGCGGTGGGCGCGGTGGGGGCGGCGGCGGGGGCGGTGGCGCTCATGCTCGGGGAGGCGGTGTGGGCTCTCTCGTCTCTGCTCAGTTGCCTCGGCCTCGGCCTCGGGCCTCGGCGGCGGGCGGACGCGGACAGCGGGGTTAGGGCGGTATCAGCGGCAGGCGGGGTGAGAGCGATCTGAAAAGGTCAAACTCAGACACCTCTGTCGTGGTGAAGAATGCCTTATTTTTACGAGATGAGTGCCCCCCAGGCTAAGCGACCGTGTAGAACGTAACGCACGCTATCCAATGTACGTACACAGTACCATCATATCTCTCGAGCAGCTTCAGCGGATCTCCTCGCGCCTGTCCCCGGCGCGCTCGATCCTCTTCTTCTCCAGCAGCTTCTTCCTCTCCCGCTTGGCTCGCCGCTCCTCAAGCTCCTTCTTGCGCTCGTTCTCCGCTTCCCGTCGGCGCAGTTGGGCCCCAAACAGCCGTGCACCCTCTCCCGGCGCGGCCAACACACCGGATGCCAGGCTATGAGCGCCAATTCCAAACGCTGCTGTGCCTAGTGCTGTGCCCATCAGCGCTGCGCCCGCCACCGAGCCCACAGCGCCCGCCACCGAGCCCACGGCGCCCGCCACCGCTTCCAGCTTGCTCTTGGCCTCGTCCTCGGCCTTCTGGAAGTGCTCAGCGAGTACCGCCGCCTCCTCTGCCTCCTTCTTCCTTCGCTGCTCCTTCTTGCGGACCCTCCTCTCCTTCTTGTCCGCCGCAGTGCTTGGCCCCGCGGCATCCGAGGACGAGGCCCCGCCCTGCCCTCCACCCACTACCGGCCCCTCCTCCACCTCCTCCTCCTCGCTCGCGTCCTCTTCCTCGAAGAGAGCGGCTGTCATCACGGACAAGCGGCTGCGACCGCCCTCATGTCGCTTGATTGTGAATCGAGGCGCAGGCGAAGCCGCTGGGCTGGGCTTGCTCGGACGAGTCTTTCCCCGCTCAACCAACCACTCGCCTCCTCCGGCCTGCTCGGCCTGCTCGCCGCGAGCAGAGACTGCCACGTCTGCACCGCTCAGCGCATCCGCCTCCATCCTGCGAGAACTGGGGCCTGCACTGTCGGCGGCATCGTCGAGCGGTGCTGTGGCCTCGATCGGCTCCGCACCGCCTTCAGCACCTGCAGGCGCCCCAATGCCCAAGATGGCGGCATCTCTGAGCAGCTGCGGCGACATCATCTCCTGCGGCGCATGGCATCCAGCCACGGCGAGGCGTTCCAAGCGCTCCACCTGCGGGAGAACGCCGCCGCCGCCGCCTTCGCTGTCGCCGCCAGGCGACAAAGCTGCCTCGAGCGCTGCCAGCCGCGACGCGATGCCACGCGCCTCGACACGACGGTCGCCGCCGCCGCTGTCAAACGCATGCTCCTCCAGCGCGTCGAGCCGCGAGGGGATCGAGCCCTGCACCGGCGAAAAGGCTCGGCGCGGTTCCACCGCCGCTGCGACCGGCGGCCCTGGCGGCGGCGGGGAAGAGAAAGGCGCGCTCCCACCGTCGCCGCCGCTGCTGCTGCTGCTCAGGTCGGGCACTCCAGGTCGAAACGCGGTGACGCCGACCCGTTCGGACGCGTCAGACACGTAGGCGACCGGGCCCTGCCCTGCGTAGTCCGGCAGCTTTGCCTTCAGCCGCCCGTCGGCCTGCACGACCTTTTCTCCATGCTTCTTCGCCGCCTGCATCTGCCGCTTCGGGATGCCTCGCTCGCGACCCCGCTTCGCGCAGTGCTCGGAGGCGAGGACGGTAAGCTCTGACGTCTCGCGCGAGGAGCGGGCGAAAGCAGCCGTCTTCTCCTCCTCGAAGAGCGTGTTTGGGGGCAGTCCGAGCGCAGCGCAGAGCGGGTTGCAGACGTGGGACTTCATGAAGAGCATGATCCCGCGCGAACCGTGGTCAGTCAGGCCGAACATATTGGCCTCGATCTCGCCCGACTGCGAGTGTATGACGGGATCGTTCAACACGAGCTCGCGCCGTGTAGCTGCGTAGCAGCCCTGGATGTCGCACACGAGCAGCCGCCCGCGCCGCGCTCGTCCGTCGCTGTCCTCGTAGTCGACCCCGTTCTCATTGTCGGCCAGCGTCCAATGCGAGAAGGCCTGCGGCACGTGCTCCGTCCGGATCCGGCCCTCGTCAGAGCTGCCATCGCCAGAGCCGAGAGGCCGCTCGGCGCGCAGCACGATCCCGTTGTTCGTGTTCCACTTTTGGAAGTCGGCCTCGAGCCGCCTCTCCGTGAAGAGGATACGCTTGCTCGGGATCTCGGTCGTGATGAGAAAGGCCTCGAGGTATTTCAGCCTCGGGATGTCGCCGCCGAGCTGCGCGGTCGCCGCGTTGAAGTTTTGTGCGAGGTTGCCGGCGGTCACCTGGCACACGAGGCTCTTGTCGTGCGTCTCGATCTCAAAGCTGTCGTTCACGCGCGCGTGCTTGTCCTCCTTCACCACCCACTGCTCGCCGGGCTTGGCCTCGAACTCCACGTCGCGCTGCTGGCGTCCACGCGAGTCGGCTGTGACCTTGGTGAACGTCGTTCGCGTCACGAAGCGCATCGCAAAAACATTTCGCTCGCCACCGTGGCCAAAGGCGCCGTCCGCAATATCGATGTCTGCCTCGCCCAAGAGCTCGTTCGGCGCCCCAAACTCGCCCGGTGGCGGCGCCTTGTAGATCTTAGCGCGAGGGTATCGCGTGAAGCGGCCCTCGAACTGGTTCAGAAAGACGGCGCGCAACGGGCGGCGGTACTTGGTAGTCGAGGAGGCTAGGCGCGACTGCGTCAGCGACGAAGAGACGCTCGAGACGCCGCGGGCGAGCGACCGCGCGTCGAGCGTGCAGCAGTTGAAGTGGCCAATGTCGCGCGGCAGGGCCTCGGTCATGCTGCGCAGCACGACAAACTCCTCCTCCTTTCCGAGCCCGATCGAGTGCCACTGCAGCCGCCGCTTGTCATAGTCGAGCAGCGCGCACAGCTCCTCTAGCTGTGCGGCGAGATGAGGCAAGAGGCGGGTCCGCTGCCACCGCTCGTGGTCGCCGCCGTACTCGTCGAGGCGAGATGAGGCGCAGCTGACGCACTGCAGCTCGTCTGCAGCGTTCCTCCAAGTGCAGCGCGCGCAGACCCAGGCCCCAGCGCCCGGGATGTCGCACGGCTTGTCGCTCGGCCGGCCGTCGGAAAAGAAGAGCACCGTCGTGCAAGCTGTCGGGTCGAGGACGCTGGCGCCCAGCTCTGCCAGCCGCACCGCCTCTGCTAGCGCGGGAGCGTAGAACCCCTCACCCCGCGGCGCACACAAGAGCGACGACCCAGGCGCGTTGCGCGCCAGGAGCGACACGCGCGCCTGGTTGAGCGGCAGCAGCTCACAGAGCAGGCGCGTCTGCCCGTCCTCCATTCGCACACACGAGACGAGATCGGTGCACGCTCCGGCGCTGAGCAGTGCCTGTTCGGCGAACAGGTCCTTGCTGAGCGAGCTGACGAGCGCTTTGCACCGCTGCAGCAGCTCGCTGCTGCCATTGGCGACGTCTCGCAGCTTCATCGAGCCAGAGTTGTCGACGACGAGAATTGTGTGGCTCGTCGCTGCTGGCTGGCTTTTCGGACCGCTGGACGCCGCGAGGTCGGAGCACTCCTTGGAGACGGGGTCGGAGAACTCCTCTTCCTCGTCCTCGTCGATCGCTCCGAGCATTTGTCTGTTGACGCTGCAGGCGAGTACGGGAAGGACAGGCCGGCGAGCGGCGAGCAAGGCGTGGGCAGCGTGGCGGGCAAGCGACAACAGACAAATGCTCGGAGCGCTGTTTCTGTGAACGCTGTTTCTCGAGGTTCTCGAGGTGGATATCCTTTGGCCGCGTTGGGTAGCGAGGATTGGTGTAACCCGAGCCACGGAGGCGTGTTTTCTGACGGCCGACCGTCAGTGCACGGAGTTGCCCCTTCTCCGACTGCCCCGGCTAGTTCCCGAGGTCGTCGGGTGTGACCCCTTCGTCCCCCGAGACCTAGCGCGGGTGGGTTGGAGTGGGCTCGCCCCGTTCCTCCCCATCGGGCCGCATGTGCGGCCACGCCTCGCAGATTCGTTTCTCGCGCCTGGGTCAGGCGCGCGGGGCATCCCCCGGGTTGCTCGACCAGCGATCCGAAGAGTGGCCGCTATGCGAGGGAAAGAGCGGGGCCCTCGGGGTACGCCTCGTCCGGCCCCCTCCGAGAGGGGAAGGGAATTGCGGGGTCCCCACGGGCGCCTCAGTTCGGCCCTCCCGAGGGGGGGAGGGGAGCAAGGGGGTGGGGGGATTGGGGTGGTGGGGAGGGGTCTCGGTTTCATGTGGCTAATACTTGCCTTTCGGGGAGGAGCAGCCTGGCGATTACCCCTTTGCGCGGCAGCAGGATTGCGATCTACGTTTGTTTGATTTTGAGGCTTTCGGAGGCTTTGGAAAGGAGGTTCGCAGCACCCTGAGGGAGGCGGCGAACCAGCTGAGCAACAAACTTTCGCACGCTCAGCACCTGGACGAGGTCACATGGACCACCAAGAACTGGCACGGGCTGCAGATGCAGCGCTTGTCTGTCGTCCTCCACACCGCCGTGGCGTGGCAGACGGTGAACGAGCTAGCGTGCGGGGAGAGCGGCATTGTGCATGGTGCGGAGTGCATTGCCGTTCTTAACGGAGTCGCTTAGGCGGCTCCGGTGGTGAGCCTGTGTGTGTGCCAGTCCGCGCCAGTCTGCGCCCTTGTCGTGCCAGTGTGCTGTGAGAGAGGCTTGTATCTTAAGAATTCTTCTACTCTGTTGATGGCAACACTTGTCTACTCGCTGGAGAGCGCTCCACACCCCGCGTATACACACCTGCTGCTCTCCTCGTCGAACGTCGAAGAGTATACGTACTGTAAGGTACGGCTCTAAAAGGTAAGGTAAAAGGTAAACGACTTCTCCACACACACGAGGTGGTGGGGCAAGGGGGGGCAACCCTCGCGTCGAAGAGTATACGGTGGGACACATGTAAATACAAGAAAAGCCCAAAAAGGAACTAAGGAACAAGAACAACGTCGAACACATTTTCAGGGTGGCCCTCTCGAGCCGCCGGGAGGCTGGGCGTGAGCGAGTGAGAGCGGCAGCCCTGAGAGCGCGACCCGGCACCGGCCTCGTCTACCCGCGTCGCGAAGCGACACCGAGACCCGTGCGCGGGAGAAATGGCCGAGAGGCTTGAACGGCTACGAGGGACGAGGAAACTCGCGAGGAAGCTCTCGGGCTGTCGCCGTCTCTGCAGCCGCCTCGGCGCTGCGCGGCCTCGTGCTCCCAGCAAGCCCGCCAAATAAGAGATCGGAAGGAGGAGAGAGGGGAGAGGAGAGAGAGAGAGGGAACGAAGAGAAGAGAGGAGAGGGAGGGAGGGAAGGGGGGGGGGGGGGGAGAGCCCGCGCGAGGAAAGGAGGGAGAGGGAGACGGAGGCTCAGCTCGCCACCGCCTCGCCCGCCGCCGCCGCCGCCGCCGCCAACTTTGCGCCCGCCGACGCAACGTCGCGCGACTGGAGCGACGACGCTCGCGGCGCCCAAAACGCCCGCTGCGCATCGGCGGCGGCGGCGCCCGCGCCGTCGCGCAGCCAGCCGGCATGCCGGTAGACGTAGCGCGAGGTGCCCTCCACCTGCCGGGAGATCTGGGGGAGATCAGGGGGAGATGTGGGGAGATCTGCGCCTCGAGGCACCACAGGCCGAGGTATGGGGAGATATGGGGGAGATCAGGGGGAGAGGAGGGGAGAGGAGGGGAGAGGAGGGGAGAGGAGGGGAGAGGAGGGGAGAGGAGGGGAGATGTGGGGAGATGTGGGGAGATGTGGGGAGATGCGCCCTCCACCTGCCGGGAGACGTACCGCGCGTGCCGCTGCGCGATGCGAACCTGTTCACAGCCAGAGGTGTGAAGAGACGCTGTTCACAGACGTACCGCGCGTGCCGCTGCGCGGTGCGAACCGGAGGCGCGAGCATCGGCGAGAGCGGGTACAGCAGGCTCCACCGCTTGCGCGCCGCCGCAGCCTCTGCCTGCTTGAGCAGCTCGAGGCGCACCGCTTCCCGCGCCGCCCGCTGCGCCGCCAGGTTTGCTCGCAGCGCGGCGATCGGCTTGCCGGGTAGCGTGCGGATGCGCATCGCGCGCCGCACGGGCAGCGTGGCCCACCTACGCGAGATAGGGGGGAGATATGGGGGAGATATGGGGGAGATATGGGGGAGACATGGGGGAGACAAGGGGGAGATATGAGGGAGATATGGCGCAGCGTGGCCCACTTGACGCCGTCGACCACCGTATCTCCCCATATCTCCCCATATCTCCCCATATCTCCCCATATCTCGGGCGCGGCGTCGCCCACTTGACGCCGTCGACCACCCGCGTCGTCACCGGCATCGCGGGCGCAAGCCGCTGGACCCACTCGATGACCTGCAGGTTGTGGATCAGCCTCCAGATCTGCACGCCGCGCGCCGCCAGCACGAGGTTGACGACGATGAGGCCCGTCTGCATCGTCAGCGCCGAGCGCACGGCCTGCCCAAACGTCCGGCTGCGCGCCTTGAGCGTCTCGTACTCGAGTCGCTTCCGCCGCTCCGTGTAGACCTGGCGCGAGAGCGCGACGAGGGAGAGGGTGGTCACGACGTAAAAGGAGCGGCGCCACACTGGCCTCCACCCCCGCGTCGACGGCGCGCCCTCCACCGCGCTCGTCGACCGGCCCGTCTTGCCAATCGAGGCGGAGCCGCTTCCGGTCGCAGAGGCGGCTGCGGGCGTCGTCGCGCCGCCGCTGGAGCGGGAGGCGGAGAGGGGCGACGAGAACCACGCGCGCCGCTCCAGCACCTTGAACGGCGACGGCGAGCCCCCGCCCGGAGGCGTGGTCGGAGGCGTGGTCGGCGGCGAAGGCCCGGCCGTCTTGAGGTGCTTGACAATCTGGCGCGCAAACGAGGGGTGCCGGCGCAGCACGGCGGAGACGCGCTCGAGCACCGCCTCGTCCGTCGGCGGCGCCTGCACGGGCGCGATGGCGCTCTCCGGAAGCCGACGCAGGTGTTTCAGACCCGTGTCGCCGGAGAGAGCCCGACCCCTCCTGATGAGAGGGATGCCGGATAGCGCGCCGCCCGACGGGTCCTCCTCTTCCACCGGGGTGCCACGGCCCGGCATCGGCGGCGGCGGAGCAGGATGCTGAGTTGTCTCTCCCGTCTCCTCCCGGCTCATGCCCGGCCAGAATGGCGGCCCCCGGTTCGGGGTAGCTGGAAAAAAGAAAATCAAGGTGCCTTCTTTGTAGCGGTGAGAGAGCCGTGTGGACCGGAGGTAACAGCAGCTCCGAGCGGCGCGAGAGCCACCATGTGTGTGTTTGCGCATGCCCTGTTCTCCGTCGCGGCGGCAGTGACATCGAAGGCAGCCGTGCCACCGCCGATCAAGTCGGTGACACGGGCACGGAGCAGCTCGACGATGCAGTACCAGCAGCAGGGCGGCTACTTTGAGCAGCAGGGCTACGGGCAGCAGCCGCAGCAGCAGGGCTACGCACAGCAGGGCTACGGCGGGCAGCAGGCAGGGCCTCGCGTCCTGCTGTACGGCGCGCAGGGCGTCGTCGGTCACGACAAGCACATCTACGGGCGTGAGCGCGAGGACTACACGGAGCTGCCCTACATCGTGCGCAGCCTCCCCTCCCGCCCTCCGTGGCCTCTCGCGGCGAGCACGCCGCCGCCCTCCGCCCTGCAGGTCAACGTCGGCGACGAGACCGTCCTCAGCCGCTGGAACATGATGCGGCCCTCCTCGTTCGTGTCGCGCGTGCAGTGCATCGTCCTAGATGGGAAGCAGGGTGGGGGTAGCAAGTACACAAACTACACTGCGCTGTTGGCCTGCGAGCTAACACACAGAATACAGACTTATGGTAGCAAGTACACAAACTACACTGCGTTGTTGGCCTGCGAGCTAACACACAGAATACAGACTTATGGTAGCAAGTACACAAACTACACTGCGTTGTTGGCCTGCGAGCTAACACACAGAATACAGACTTATGGTAGCAAGTACACAAACTACACTGCGTTGTTGGCCTGCGAGCTAACACACAGAATACAGCCTTCCCATCCAGGTGCATCGTCCAAGTGGCGCCCGACGGCACCGCCCTACCCGCCTTTGCTGCTGCGGGCACCCCCCCCCCCCCCCCCGGGTGGCATTGCGCTCGAGTGTCATATATCCAGTCTTGGAGAACCCTGTCCACGCCTGAGGATTCTGCACTAGCGATTCTGCCACCCAAGACAGGATTCTGTATGCGGAGGCTCGAGAGGGATTCGTGTCCGTTTCTTCTGATTCTCACTCTCCTTTTCCGGTTCTGCCTACTCGATCTGATTCTGCCCGTCCCCTTTCCACGCACTCAGCCTCCGGGCAGGATTCCTCACCCAGCTTCCGTTTCTGCCTAATCGATCTGATTCTGTCCGTCCGATTCTCGCCTTATCAGATTCTGTCGCGCGATTGCGGTTTCTGCCTCCGGATGCCGGAAAGCGATTTTGCGCTGCCCGCCGATTTCTTGGCAACCCGGCCGGACTCTCGTTTCCTGATTCCTGTTTTTGCCCCTCGAGGGGCGGTAGCCCGGCCGGCCGGCCATCTGGGCATGCTCACTCAACCAATCACGCTCATGTGTACGCGCCGTATCCTCCGCGCCACCCACTTTGCCATCGAAGTGCGCTCCGCGCTCCGCACAGTACAGTCACTTTTTTTTGAACGGCGGCTCATCACACGTGCGTCAGAGATCTCATGGGCGGTGGCATGGTGGAGCCAGAGCAGTGCGCGGCCGATCTTAATTCTGGGCAGGCGGCCTCCCATTCCCGCGGGCGCTTGGTCCCGGGGTTTGAACGGCATGCCGGCGTCAGATGCAGCTTGGCGCCGGCCTGCGGCGACCCCGCAAGCGGTCGTTGGTGCTGCTCAGCGATGCTCACAGCGGCACGTCTGCTCTTTTGCTGTGGGGAGTGCTGTCTGATTGGGTCTCCAAGCCCGCGGGCTCGCTGTGAATGCACCCGCCAGCTAGGCAGCTCCGCGGCGGTGTGGGTGTAGAACGGGTAGGCTGCTGTCTCGTGTCTCGGTGCTCGTACTAAGTCAATGGGAGGAGTGCTTCAATTTCTTCTTCTTATACGCCCAGCTCAAAAGCACACACGCATCACGACGCCTAGACAGGCGAGACGCGGCGACAGCCGCGGCGAGCTCGTTTTAGAAGCGAGCCGCTCGCGGCGAGCAGTTTTAGAAAAAGGGAAAAGGGGGAGGGTTAGTTTGAACCCGAGCCGAGCTTCGCTCGGCTCCCCCCCGCGCGGGAGCGCCCCCCCCCCCTCTCCTCGGGGGGGCGGGCAGAGCCCGCACCACACACTGCGCCTTTGCGGACGCCGGACCGAGGCCTAAGCGCTGAGTGCGCTGACGTGAGGCTGGAGCGCCAGAGAGACCCGCGCCTGAGCATGCTGCCGCGGGCGAAGTTTGAGTGAGCTGTGTGAAGCCCCGCGCACACGCAATATCGGCTCAGGAGTTCGGAGAGTCAGGCCAACATAGGATCCCGCCGAAATGCGTAACTCCGAGGAATCAGGAATCAGGAATCAGGAATCAGGAATCAGGAATCAGAATCCCGGTCAAAATGTGGGCGATCCGACAAATCAGGAATCAGGAATCAGGAATCAAATGGAGCATCAAGAATAGGAAGAGAGACAGGAGAATCGGGAGGGGTTAGCAGAATCAGGAATTGGCTCTGGCTGCCCTAGAGAATCGGAAAGGAAGCGGAGGAAACGAGAATGGAGAATCAGGAAGCTGAAAGCGGGGCCAAGATGGGAGAGTCTGGGGAGAGAATCAGAATATCTGAGCAGAAGAGGAACCTGGGAAGGGGAATCTAGTGAGAGGTAGAATAGCAAGAATCCTTGTGTAGTAGAGCAGAATAGGAAGGGCAGAATCCTTAGGCGCGGACAGACTTCTCCATTACTCCATATATCTACTCGATAGCGGCCACGAGCGAGTGACGAGTAATCGTGCCGTGGCCACGAATAATAAAAAAATAAGAGCGCCGGTGACACTCGCTCGGACGCTGGGGACTGCGGCTTCCTAAGTCAACTTTTTGATGAGAGGATCGATCATTTTGGCTGAGCTAACTCTGCCAACTCCGTCCGTTCTCACCCAAAACGGCATTCAAGCAGAGAAACAGCGCGCACCAATACAGGCCGGATTCCAGTACTAATACAGTCCGATTCCAGGGGAGTGACTAACTACACACTCGAGCAGTCCAGAGACGTAGGCTGACAGCGCTGCTGGCCCCGTGCCGGAAACGAGCCGGCCCAGGCCGTGGCTCAGAGCGCTAACGCTCCGAGCCACCGCTGCACGCACGCTAGACTAGACTGCCACAATCAGACACTCGGACTCTGTCTCCTCAGAGGCGGAGGAAGCCTTGGCAATGTTATAGACGGGCCCATCGGCCACTAAAGGCATTTTTCGGCGACAAATGTCAACCACTTTGCCGAACAAAGGTTAAGGCTGTTGTCCAGACATGATGATTTGGAGATTGTCCTGAGTGATGCTTCCAAGGCCGGTCACCGGGTCCCAGCCTTCTACTGCGCTCCAATACTGGGCGCCTTTCACGCCTGCGCAGTTCTCCTCGATTTGGAACCCGTTTGAATTGCCGCCTTCCATCACATCGTTGAACAACTCGCGGCGATTGTACATAGCCCGGTTGATGAAGCCAAGGCGTTGCTCCGGCTTCAGCTTTGCCTTGGCATTGGCCACCATGGCCGCGAAGAGCGGAGCAGAAGCCGAGGTGCCATGCTGGATGCCGCTGGGACGTGCATTCACGGCCGACGAAGATTGGAAAGAAGAGACCGCTCATCGCAACGTCGGGAGCGGCCCTTTGGAACTGGTCGAGAAAAAAGCGGCGAGGTAAAGTATTCGCGGTAGACGACCTGCTCCACCTCCGATAATGCTTTGAACTCCTGTAGTTTGATCTCCTCCTGATATTTAATGCTCCAGTTTTGAATCGCCTCTTTCTGCCACTCGGGCACGCTGGGGATAGCCTCGAGGTCCCCATCGGGCCACTTGACGCCTGTCGGCGTGGGACGAGGGCGCGGCGTGGGCCGGTGGGCGAGAGATTAGCGAGCGGAGTGGTGGCAAGGACGCACCGTCCACAAAATGTCGATCAAAGAATCCACCGCCGGACCAACCTGTGGAGACACAGTGGCGAGGAAAGAGTTAGAGGTCGGGCTGCAGTTTCTTAGTGGGCGGGGCTTCGTGGTGGGCTTGTGATTTTTCACCGGCTTCCTCGTCGCCCGGGCAGGGGACGACGCCGCTGCAGGTGGCCGCTTGCTCTTTCCCCCCGCCGCCGGATGCGAGTGGGAAGGGAAGCTGGGTCGCGCCGACAGCAACAACGTTCTCGAGGATGGCTGGAATTTGGACGGACAACGCCTCGCAAATGTCGGAGTTCTTAAGCAGTCCGCGCGCTCCATCGTCCCCGCTGCTAACAACAATCGTCGTACCGGCCGCCGTGAGGGCAGCAGCCGCGTGATTATAACTCTTGATCTGCGAGTGAGTCAATTTAGCCACGTCAACGCCGTAGGAAATGGAAAGTACGTCGGGCGGCCCGTCAGTCTGATTAAGCAGAAAATTGAAGATTTGATCGGTCACACCACGAGAATACACAATGTCGATGCTTGATTTTGGAGAGATGCCCAATGCCGTGCTGACGTCAAGCTGTACCTCGTCCACGGAAGTGCAGAGGCCAGGACTTTTATCGCACTCGGGCATCGGATTCGAGTTGTCGACGTTGACAATACGGATAGTCGACCCATTCCTCGTGTTTTGAGCCCTACCCTGGTAGCGCCACATTTTGTTTATGGCCTCGTTTTCGGCGTCGAGGGCAGCCAGCTCCGGCTGGATGGCGATGCAGAAGGCGCCGCTCGATGGGGGCCCGCCCTGCTGCGTGCCGGTCGCCGAGTCGCCGCCACGCGAGGTCTCAGCGCGGCAAGTCTGCCCCTCGAGGTGGTGCTGCTCAAAGAGCCGCTTTCACACACACACACACACACACACTCAGACTGTGCTCCCCCAGTCTGAGCAGTCTGAAGCAGTCTGGTGCAGTCTGACCCAGTCTGACCCAGTCTGAAGACTTCACAGACTGCTTAGACTGCAAGTGGGAATAACCTCTAAAATTCTTAGGTTGTAAAATTCTTTAACCGCGATGGGCGCGCGTTCTGGATCTGTGAGTGGAGCCCCCCCCCCCCCCGGGGGGGGGGCGGCCCGGGGGGGGCGAGTGAGCGGTGGTCCGCGATGCCTGCGGAGGGCTGCGTGCGATGCAAGCGCCGCCTGCCGCCCGACGCCGGCCCTGAGAGGCTCTGCCGGCGCTGCAGCAAGCGGACTGCTCCCGAGGCAACCCACGCCCACACACCCGCCCCTTCGCCGCCGGCCTCAGCGCCGCCGGCTGCAGCGCCACCGATTATTCCTGCTACGCTGGCTGCTGCTACGCCGCCGCCCACAGTGCCGCCGGCTGCTGCGCTGCCGGCCGCTCCAGCCGCGCTGAGGTCGCCGCCGCCGCCCACAGCGCGCTCCGACAGCGGCGCGTGCAGCCGGTGTTCTCGCCGCCTGCCGCCGGCAGCCACCCGCGGGCTCTGCAAGCGCTGTGTGGCCAGGGAGGAGGCGAATGGCGCCAGCGCGACGCCAGCCGCGCCTGATCCGGCCATCGGCGGCGGCAGCGCAAAACCAGCCGAGGCGGCTGCGGCCGCTCCCGCCGGCGCAGCGCCCAGCGCAAAGGAGATTCACGCGCCCGCAACACCCGCCGCTCCCGTCGACCCGGCGCGCATCCGCGCCTTGCTCCGCGAGGCACTCGCCGGCGGCGGCGAGGGCGTCGCCGATCAGCGGCTGATGGACTATGCGGCGGCGCTGCCCGCGGCGGTCGCGGAGGCGGCGCTTCGCGAGTGCTCGCGCCTCGACCTGCGCGGCGCACGGAACGCCCCGGCTTACGTGATGGGCGTGCTGCAGCGCAAGGCGGCCGAGGGAGGCGCGCCGGGCGACGCCGCCGCCGCCGGCGGCGGCGGCCGGGGAGGGTACGAGGGCGGAAGGCAGCGCGGCGGGAAGCGCAAGCGGCTGGCGAGGGAGGCCGCCGCGGGCGGTGCCGCGGGTGGCGAGGCGGCCTCTGCCGCCGACGCGGCGCAGGGCAAGGCCGCCGGGTCGCGGCAGCAGGCGCGGGGCGGGTCCGAGTCGCGCCGGCGGAGAGACGAGGCGCGGCGGGCGCGGCGGGAGGCGGCGGTGGCGACCTCGTGAGATCACTTTTTAGCTATCGTTTGGCCACGCTCCACGCCCACGGCTCGGCACGGGTAGGCGAGTGGCAGTCGCGGTGCGGACTTGCTACTGTAAGTCGTGTGTGCTCCTTTTTGCTTGCTAATACGCGCCGGGCAGCGGTGTTGATGCCCCGCGTGAGACGTGTGTGTAAGTTTTCTGTTTGTTGCACCACGAGGCACGACACTCGACACGGCACGCGACATCTTAAGAGCCTATTCGCACGCGACCGCATGCGACCTCCTCGATCTGCGCCGCAAACTCGGCGGAGGAGGGAAACGGGCCGAACGCCGCCTCTCGCCTGCGCCGAATCTCGGCGAACGGCGTGAGCGACGTCGTGAGGAGGGTCTGCAGGGGAGGGTCGCGCAGCCCAAGCGGCGAGAGGAGAAAGTCGAGCGCGCTCGATGCGGCGTAGAGCAACTTCCGCGTGGGCGGCGCGTCGGCGCCGGGCCCCGTCGAGAGGTCGAGGAGCGCGGTGCCTTCGGGGACGCGCTCCCGTGAGTAGGCGGGCAGTGCGGCGGCCACGTCGCCGTCGAAGCGGCTCAGCACATCGCTGAGCGAGATCGCGTCCTGCAGCGCCGAGTTGCAGCCTTGGCCGGACGCGCCGCCCGTCGAGTGCGCCGCATCGCCAAGCAGCGCCGCGCGACCCAAGCTGTACGAGTTGCACCTGACCGTTGCCGCCTTGGAGACGCGCTGCGCGACAAACTGCTCGCCGATGGCCGTCGTGTTGAGCGCGTCCGCGAGGAGCGGCAACGCGCTCGCCAAAGCGCGCCGCGCCGCGTCCGCGTCGGTCGCGCTCGCTGGCTGCCAACTGCCCTTGCTGCCGTCGGGGAGAGTCGTGGTGAGGGTGTCGCCGCGCCAGCTGAGGAGGGCGCACGCCTCGCCGCGCGCGGTCGGCTCCAAGAAGGCCGCGAGGCCGCCCGCGCCCGGGACGAGGTGCACGGCGTCGGGCGCCAGCCGCGCGGGCATCCTCTCGAGGCGCAGCACCTTGAGGCTGCCGCCGAGAGTCGCCCGCTCTGCGTTGAAGGACGGGCACCGCTCGGCGAAAGAGGCGCGCACGGCGGACTGCACGCCGTCGCAGCCCGCGATCAGGTCGAACGATCCCGTCGTCGTGGCGCCGCCGCCGCCGCCGCCGCCGCCGTCCTCGCCTCCGCCGCCACCGCCGTCCTCGCCTCCGTCACCACGTCCGTCGTTGCCGCCGCCACCACCGCCGTCCTCGTCGCCGCCGGGCCAGTACGCGAGCTGGCCGCTCTCCGGGTCGACGTGCAGTTCGCTCTCTCCGGGTCGACGTCTCCAGGCCAGTTCGCCGCTCTCCGGGTCGACTTTCTCGACGCGCGCGCGGAACTGCATGTCGAGCCGGCCGGAGGCGCGGTGGCGCGCCTCCAGTGCGGTCAGCAAGGCGGAGCACAGGTCCGACTGGTAGATGAGGACGGACGGCTCCTGCCCCGAAATGTGGGGAGATGCGGGGAGATGTGGGTAGAGTTGAGCATCTAGGGCGGACGGCTCCTGCCCCGGCGTCGGCTTGCGCAAGTCGACGTCGCCAAAGAAGGGCGCGTGCAGCGTGAAGCGGTCGCTGCCAAACCCCTCCGCCTTGACCGCTTGCCACAGCGCCTCATCGACCGCGCGAATGGCCGCGCGCCCCCGCAGACCGAGCCCGAGCGCATAGGCGCGCCCCTCACGCACCCTGCCGTCGCGCGGGTCGCCGCGCGCCTCAAGCAGCGTGACGGATGCGCCCGCGTCCAGCAGTCGGTGAGCGAGGAGCAGGCCGCTCGCGCCGCCGCCGACGATGGCCGTGTTGAGCCTAGGGAGGGAGTAGCGTGGTGCCGTATGCTCACTCGCGATGTGCGGCAGTGTCAGCTGGCCGATGAGAGCAGGCAGTTGAGCATCTAAGGGGGAGTCGAACCCGGCGAGTGTGCTCGTGCCGCCGCCCGTCTCGCCTGCGGGGCCCTCTCGCGTGGGAGGAATCGGGGCCAGCGAGGCGGGCGTGGAGGGCAGCGAGGCGGGCGGGGACAGGAGGGGATGAGGGAGGAATGGGGCGGGAGGCGCATCGAGGTACAATTGCTGCTGTCGAGGATGCGCGGACCGTCGTCGCCGACTACGCTGGCCCTCGGATCGCTGCGGCGCCAAATTCTCTGCGGCCGAGCGGCGGCCGACTGATCTCCTCCTCCTCCTCCTTCCCCCCGCCCCCCTGATTCGGTCGTGCTGGCCGCCGCCGCGGCCACCTCTCGGAGCAGCAAACCGCCGCCCAACGCTCCAGCCGCCCCGAGCACCAGGCTCGCAAAGGACGGGAAGGACGCCGCGCCGTCGCGCTCGACGATTTCGAGTGCCGACGAGAAGAGGCTGCCGGCGTAGACGTGGGTGAGGACCGCTGGGAGGGTGGCGAGCGCCGTCGCCGGAAAGTAGTCGTCGAGGCTCACGCCGGCCAAGGCGAGGCCATAATTGTTGAGCCAGGAGGGGATGGGCGAGAGGCGTGCCAGCAGCGTGAATCGAGCACCATCGCGCTCCACGCTCTGCGCGAGGTTTGCGAGCGATGGTTGCGCCGCGTAGGCACGAGCTGCCGCCTCCTCCACGCCGGCAGCGGAGAGAGCCGCGCGAGCGATGCCGCTCGACACGAGGTAGGTGATCGTCGCAGCCAGCACTTTAGCCGACCAAGCGACCGCGGCGCCTTGATAGACGCCGAATAGCAAGCCGGCCGCTAGCTCGAAGAGAATCGTCGCTGGAAAGCAGCCGACCACGGCCGCCGTGTGCACGCATGCAAATGCTACGAGGCCGGCCGCACCTCGGCCGCTCGTCCAGTCGCTCAGGGCAACGACTGCATCCGCAGAAGCGGTGGCAGCGATCGAGGCACGCACGGCCGGAGCGGTGGCGTGGAGGAGAGGACGCACACACGCATGCATGGCAATAACACAGACACTGCACAAGGGTTCACGGCTCCCTTCCGGGTAAGGGGGGTTCGAGTGTCGCTCCTGTGTCTGTCTGTGTTGTTGTGCTGTTGTTTGTCTCTTGGCACCGTGGAGTGCTGGGGGGGGCGACAGGGGGGACGTGGCCTGAGTGATGTGTACGCCCACTCAGGATGTGTGGCAGCCCGCTGGCTGTGTGTCTTGTGAGCTTCCCTCGGGAGCGGGGGAGGCCAGGTGGAGCCTGGAGGCGTCGATGCCGGTACCAACCGCTCCGTCGTTGGCACCGGCCGCCGAAATCGGCAAGGGAGAGGGGGGAAGGGAGCCGGCGGCGCAGGCCCTCACTGCGCCGTCGGCTGACGAAAACCCTGCCCGGCCCTCTTCTTCTGGTCGCCCTTCCCCTTCTGGTCAGCATGGAGCGGGAACTTTGCGTTGTACTCCGCCAGCTCCGCAGGGGTCGCCAGGCGCGAGAAGGTCTTCGAGTCCCGCTCGAAGTCGAAGTCCTTGAGCACGTGCGCCGGCGATGTGAGGGTGGCGTGCTGGGCGCCCTGCATCCCGTGCGAGCAGAGGGCCTTCCGTTTGTCGTCCTGCTGCCGGCTCAGGATAAGGCCGAGGCACTTGCCCTCAGGTCGCTCGCTCTTGGCGAGGCAGAGAGCCCTCGTGCTCCAGACGCGGCCCGAGATCTGCACCTTGTCTCCTGCGCTGTCACGGACGAGCAAGCCCCGCGTGCCAGGGGGCAGCCCGGCGCCGGCGTGTAGCACGAGGGGCTCGTTGCCTTGGAGGAGCCCGGTGGAGGACGGGCCCACACGCACACACACGCTGCACACGATTGGCTCGGGAGCCGACACGAGGCACACTGTCACCGGCTGTAGCACCGGGTCCGGACTGCTGGACACACAGCACACAGCTCACAGGACAGCTCATGTACTCGCGCAAGGCCGGCTGGCCAGCATCGGCCGCCCTTCCGGCCGCTGGCGCGGCGACGGCGGGCTCGGCGGCGGCGGGCGCGGCGACGGCGGGCGGGGAGCAGATCCACAAGTTGAGCATCGTCGAGACGCCTAGGGGAGATATGGGGAGATATGGGTAGATATGGGGAGATATGGGGAGATATGGGGGAGATATGAAGATATCTTCATCGGCTGGCTCGCATCGCACACCCCGCGCATCCAGGCCCTCGGTCTCAGTTTCATGGGCCGCGCTGTTCATGACATCGACGAGCAGGTGGCGCTGATGAGGGCCGAATGCCAAGCGCGCCTCGGGCTGAACAAGACCGCCTTCCTCAACGGCTTTCGCAGCCGCAACGGCAACGAGCGCACCTCGCCTGCGACAGTCGCGGTGCATCACGTGCTAGATCCGAGGCGGCATGGAACCGCACGTGGGCGGCCACGTCGGCGTGGACTAGCTTCCTCAAAGGTGCAAGCCGCACTCCGAGAAGAGCTGCATCTTCGAGATGCTGCCGCCGCCGGAGTAAGAGGGGGCGGGTAACTACCTCCGTTTCGTGGTAAAACTAAAAGAGACACGGGGAAGCGGGCGGGCAGAACTTAAGAGCTAGGGAGGAGCTAGGCGCCGCCCTTTAAGTCACACAGCCCTCACGTGTATGTCTCACATGCACATACGGCTTTATCATGTACATGTTCATCGTCGCGCGGGTCCGGGGGGATTCCCAGAGTACTCTAACAAGAATAATATTTAACATCTCCCTCGCACACACATCTGTGGACTCAGCGCGGGACAACCATGAATGAAAAGCGACGCGCTCTTCAGTCCAACTGGTGGTCGATCCGGATCGGGGCGGCTTCACCCGTGGCGCCGCCCGAGGAGCCGTCCGAAGCGCCCGGGGATGCGGCCGCCGCGACGAGCTGCTGGCCGCGCGACGGCGGCCGCGACGACGACGAGCGAGGGCCGGGCCGAGAGGGAGGCCGCTCCAGCCGCCGCCGCTCCTCCTCTGTGTGCGGCGGCGCGTGGCCGGTGGCCGTCGCCGAGCTCGCAGCCAGGCCGTCGCAGCGGCTGGCGGGGAGCACCGCCGCGCCGGTGTGGGTAGGGGCCGGCGGGCAGCCAGGCGGCGGCGGCGCCGGCGGGCGGGGCGAGGAGCGCGCGTCAGCCGGGTAGACTGGCTTCGAGGGGGGAAAGGCGAGGCCGCACGAGGAGCAGAGCCGGCGCGCGGTCGGGTTCATCTCGCCGCACCCCTTGCACGCCTGCGCCGCGGCGCCGTAGGATGTGGGGGAGGGGGGTGGGGAATGGGAAGACTGCGCCTTCGGAGCAATAGGAGAAGGGCCTGCCCTCAGTGACTTGCTGGCCCGCGTTGGCAAAAGGGGGCGCCCCCTTC